CTAATTAGTCCCTATAGATTTATTGTATAATTTATGTAAAATTCCTACAACCCAAATGGGTCCTAAATGTGAAGACTTGGGGAGCGTGGCATGTTATTCAAAATAACCCAAAATTTCAATCTGGGTTCTATGTCATAGCCAAGTCAGCCAAAAATATTTTAAGTACTATTTCATGTGTAAGGCTAACATTTCGATAGTTGAGGTTTCAAACTAGACATTTTTCATAATTTGAGTTATGAAAAAAAACAATATGTGTTTTTTTTGTGTTTGAGGAGTACAAGAAATAAAATCAAAGCTTAAGTTGAAAAGGCCAAAATATCTTATAAGTGAGGGATTAGTTACGGTTCCTTTCGTCACAAAATACTTAATGTTTTACATTTTACTAGTATAGATTAGTGCCATGTACAAATTATCCAGATGTCCTTATTTTTAAAGTTGTTCTGTGTTAATTAAAGGGAAAGTACTATGGAGAATATAGTTAGTTAGATCAGACATTTCCCTCTTAGGTGGTACTGATTACACATTCAAATCATTAAAAGCGATGTGGGAACTGAACGAGGTAAATGTTGCGGCGAAGTGGGTAAGTAATGAAAGAATAGATGATGAAAAAGATTTCATTCAGTTGAAGGACTTGTTTGGTTTCATTCAAGCGTTTATAGTATGCCCAGATGACATTGATAAGCCTTTTTCTACCGTATCGAAAGAAGGATGATGAGACATTGATATTCGGTACCGGTATGTTTGTAGGTGTCTATTTTTCTGAGGAACTCAAATTCATGGAAAAACTAGGGTACTTGGTCGTTCCAATCTGTGGCTGGGTCTTTGATAGAATAGAATCATGCATGTAGGGGGCCTAGTGGACACAAGAAAGACAAAAGGGTGCTCAAGATCTAAAACATAAAGTTTTTACACATGATAATTTTTAAATCCAAAACATTAAGTATTTTAGGATTGAGGGAATACTAACTAGACGTCATGGTGACTTTTGAAGGAACTTTATCAGATATGATGTTAAATTGATGAATTTAGCATGGTGGTATGTAATGGATAAAATGTGTGGTGAATCCACCATGGTACTAATGTGAATGGATGTATCTGAGGGGTCAGATTCTAGGACTAACATATGTTGCCTTTAGGGGAGAGGCTAGGCTCCAGGTCATATTTGTCTTTTAACTCTTATATATATAATTATTCTTTTTCAGAGATTAGAATTTTTTTTTTTGTGATAGTAGGTGGTAAAATGTCGATGTGACAGCGTGTGAAACCTGTTTTCAAACCTTCAACTTACATGTGCATGTGCTTTTCTTGAAATTATTTATAATTTAATGATGTTATTCTTTTGAAGATAGGTGACGTGCCCACAATCGTCAACTTCGAAATATGCTGCGTAATTCTTTCGGGTATGGCTATAGGTTAGGGTTTACGTGTACGGGTTCATATTTGATTTTATTTTTTTACGGTAAAAAATTATGGGGGAGATCCCCATAGTAAGATTTTAATATTGAATTAAGATGAGAACGTACTTACATACAAATACCATGTTCGTTGGTTGGTTTTTGTGCTGATAAGTCCGGCTGGTGTTGGTTTGTTTTGAGAGGAAAATACTGTTGGCTAGCCAAACATTCCTACTCGGTTAAAAGAATTAACTAAAGGCATCAAGCCAAACACAAAATGATGACAGTAGGTCATCTTTAAAACGTACAGACCGGAGGTGACACTGATTTTTAAAGTTGGCTAGCCAGACATTCCTACTCGGTTGCCGCCTCTGGAAAAACTTGTCATTTCGCATCTTCCATAGTTCCCAACGCGGCCTCAGTGAAAAAAGGCAGGTTGTGAGTCAGTCTTGCATGGACCAACCTATCCTGAAGATGTAAAGAGCCATCCCAAACGAAGTTAAGGGTCCCAGCGTTCCTGTGCAAACGGACAGTCAAAAAACAAGTGGTCTATAGTCTCCTCTTCCCCGTTGTTGCACATGATGCAGAAGATGGTGTCCTGGTTTTGTAGATGCCTTCTCTGCAACATTGATTTGGTGTTCAACCGGTCTACTAGAACTAGCCAAGTAAAAAACTTTGCGTGGGGTGCATTTTGATTTCCAGATCGCTTTGAAGATATATGAGGTGATGATTAAGGCCTTATTTAGCTGCTCACTCTAAAGTTTAGTCCTATCCAATCGGATGTTTGGACACATGCATAGAATATTAAATATAGACTAAAAAATAACTAATTACACAGATTGCGACTAAGGCCTCGTTCAACTAGTATGGAGGAAGTACTGTTCACTACTGATTTCATCTCATAAATTCCTCCAGATTCCTCTAAGCGAACAGGGCCTAATTTACGAGACGAATTTTTAAGCCTAATCAGTCCATGGTTTGATAATAGTGTGCTACAGTGAAGCTACGGTGCCTGCTGATGCCGTATTAATTAGACTTAAGAAATTCGTCTTGCGGAGTGAGGACTTTTGTAATTTGTTTTATTATTACTATCCAAACACATCTATGCAACACCCGATGTGATATCTCTAAACTTTAGCCTATGTATTTAAACACCACCTAAATAAGAAATACTAATCGATACATTTGATTATCTAGAACATTGAACACAAAGTTCAAGTATGTGATGCATAGTTGATGAGAAAGAGTGAGAGGTAGAGCGAGAATAGGATGCATGAAACTAAACATTGTCGGTACTTTGAGTTCCTGAGACTAAGGACATATACACGATCATGTGTCTCACTATGTGTATGAGTCAAGGTTGCTAAATTATTGCTGCCATTTTGCCCTCCACGTCGCTCCTGTGGAAAAGCCATGCTTAATAATGAATGGAGAGCATCTGACGGGATGAAGGCAGACCTATCCACTCATTTAAGAACCGATTCGTTAGCACGCCACAAATCCTCCTCATCTCGTTTCTGCTGCCAAGTGCCCATTGGCGAAGCGGCTCACCGGTGGTTCTCACGAGATGATTTTTTTGCAAGAACAAATTTGATATACATAGAAAAACCCACTACCACTTAAGGGTGGGAGCTAATGATATTAGGTTGTAGTCCTCCTCGGGTCCGGATTAACTCTCTCATAGTCTTTAATGACTTAAAGATATAAAACTAATATAAAAGGAACTAGGCGGTTTTTTCAATAAACAAATATATATCAAAATTTGACTCAAAGAGAACTCAATCTTTGGTGGTTGGGTGCACAACCTCACATCTCATCTAAACAGTTAACTTTGGTTCACTTGTTATAACTCTCAGTGGCCATGATTTAACACATTCAAGTGCTGTCACGAGTTCATTTATGGCCCCTGGCTGTCCTTTTTCTGGTGTCAATATTAGTAGATATATAAAACAAGATCTCGATAAAGAATGTTGTAACGCTTTAGGACGATGAGATCAAATTAGAACGTATTTTAGGCATGAACTTGCCTTGTCTTAGCGATAAATAAAGTAAAATTCTACACAATTGGTGTACTAGTATGTTTCTGTTCGTACCCTGCTAAACTTGGGGGTGTTTGGTTCCAGAGACTCAAGTTTAGTCTCTATCCACATTGGATGTTCAGATGTTAATTAGAAGAGCTAAACATGAGTTAAATATAAAACTAATTACATAGACGGAGACTAATTTACGAGATGAATCTATTAAGCCCAGTGTTTACCTAAACGGCCTCGGTGATAAACTATTTTGTTTAGGGGGTAAACTAAAATTAAACGGTTGATCGTTTAAACGAAAAAACGGGAAAAACGGTCTAAACGGCCTAAACGGAACGGAGATAAACAACATTAAACGAGCTCGGCTGTTTAGACGAACACGAGGTAAATCTAGTTCAGTTTTGTATGAATAAATTTGTATACTTAAGTTTATTATATTTATAAATGTGTACACTTGATATGTTACATGCATAAATATTTATATTTGGTTCTTTTCACATACATAAATATATATACATACCAAAATAATTGATTTTTACTCGGATAAATATGTATAAATGCTAGAATACTTGATTTTTACATGCACATATATATTTATATGCATTTTTTTTAAAAAGTACAAAACCGTTTAACTTCGTTTAAATACCGTGTAAACAGTCTAAACGCTAAACGAAGAGCGACCGTGTAAAGTCTGTTTACCGTTTAGAAAAATATTGATTAAGCCTAATTAACCTATTATTAGCACACATTTACTATAGCACCATATTATCAAATCATGGACTCTTTGTTTCTACGGACTAAATTTTAGTCCGTGGAAACAAAAAGATATAATTAAATGAAGATATGATTTGATATGATTAATATATCTTAGAAAAATCATATTTTTTTCGGTATTAAAAGAAGATAATTTTATATGAAAATTATAGATCTCGAAAAGATCTACAACTTTTTAGTTTTGAGTGTTTCCATTGGAAGTCATTAAGATGCTCAAAAAATTAATAATATATTTAGACTTAAGGATATTTTTAACTTTTTACACCTGCAGTTTGACACCGTTAAGACCCAATCTAACGGTAGTGGCATGGAGGACAAACAAAAAAATTTAAAGTAATGGTGTAAAGACCGCTGGATTTTTTCAATAGTTCACGGAGAATTACGATCTTTTTAAATGGTTCACAGGAAATTTTCCCTATAGGATTGCGATTTTTATTTTAATGGCTGACGAGGAATTCCGCAAAGGTTAGCGAGCACAGACGCGACCGCGACCGACGCCACGCGTGCCGCCCCCGATCAGCAAAAAGACCCCAGTCCCCAGCCGATGGGCGGCGTTTTCCGACGCCACGCGTGCCGCCCCCGATCAGCCAAAAAACCCCAGTCCCCAGCCGATGGGCGGCGTTCTCCGGGCTCCTCTACGGGCGTGACCGTTGCCAAACACCACAGCCAACGGCGCAGGCTGGATCGCTTTGTAGTTGTAGCCGCCTCTTCTCCCTACTCCGGCTCGCGCGCTCTCTTCCTCTCTAGCGCAGCCTTCACTCCCCCCCGGCGTCCCCAGAGTCCGCGGCGGCGCCGGCCGCCCATGGAGGACGCCTACGCCAAGTCCGTCGCCGAGGTAATGAGGGCCTCCCGACTTCAACCCCGTCGCGCGTTCGTTTGACCCCCTCCACCCCGCCGCCACCGCCGCCGCCTCTCACGGATCTGGTCTCCCGCTTCTCGCAGGTGCTCGATGCGTTCGGCGTGGATCAAACCAAGGGCCTCTCTGACTCGCAGGTACTGAACTGAAGCATTTCGCTATGTGAATTTTGGTTTGCGTACTGGTAATAATGTGGTGGGGTTGCGCTTATTCATTATTGGTTCCAAACGCAGGTGGAGAAGAATGCGAGGCTCTACGGCAAAAACGGTGAGGCTATTCGTCTTTTCTACGCGTGTAGATTACTCCCTTTTCTTCTGATATATGGTTTGGCTGGTTACAGCGTCAAACATAAAAACTTGAACATTGTCAGTATGGCAGTAGTGGTACAGTACTCGAGTCATTATGTTAATGCTTTTACCGTTTGTTTAAGTCATGTCTAGTACAAACGATGAAATGCTATGCTATGCATTGGAGTTTGGAACTGAATTAGGAGAGTGCTTCAGTTTATACTACATGCAGATTGTTTTTCAGGTGAAAGAGTGTCTTTTGTTGGTAAACTGCTTTTCATGAACCAGTGGACCTATGGAATTCATGCTCACCATGTTCATCCATATGAGAGTTTGGCCATTAATGCAAAGCAAACGAGTCATATACTCTCTTGTTTTTTTGTAGAATCTGTGGCTCATCACTATTTAGTGTTGTAGTGACTAGTGGTTAACATCATCTAAATTCAGATAATTTCTAGATAAGGAAGCTAGTTCACAGGACCTTGCTGAGGGAAGGCTATTTGTGATAAAATCACTCTACCATTTCTCACCTCACCTAATGTTTGGATAAGTTGACAGAAAAAAGATGGAGGTAGTGTCACAGTTCATAAGCATTAACAGTTCTGTTATATGAATCAAATAAAGTATGCTACTGTTAGGACAACATCATGAAATGTTTTTTTTTCTTGGGCCATGTTTTTTATGCTGATCTAACAGAACTACAGCCTTACATGCTTTTAATCTAGTTGGAGTCCTCAGCTATTTATCAGTTCAAAGTTTCAATTGGAGTGTATTTTGGAAGTTGGCGTGTTCATGCACAATTACCTTTTGCATTGCAGCATTATTCTAAGTTTGGATTCTTACATTTTTGCTGATGACTGTCTGATTTGTCTTTGTTGTTTTCATGCATGGACTATCTCCAGTGCTTCCCCAAGAAGAAAGTAAGCTATAGCACCCACTTTTGTTTTGTATGTCTTGCAGTTGCAGTACAATACATGATACCTTTTTGAACCCACCCGACAGTTTTACTCCCAATCAGTATTCCCATATTTTTGTTATCATTGGAATATAATGTTAATGAGCTTCTCTACCAAGAATCCAGACATGTACCATTTCCTATAATCTTTGAGAGAATAAAGTTTCTTGTGTACTCTTTGTAGGTAGATACACCATAGCTCTACAAAGTTACTTAAACAAGTTTCTTCCTGTTATTTGTCTGGGTTGCTTGCTGTTGGGATACAACAACAACAATAGAGCTTTGTTGCTGTTTTTGTATCCCCAATGCAAACAGCACTGAACAATTACATATGTAACTTATTCAGATAATGTGGTGCTATTACTGTTTTCTTTGCATTCTATTTACAAATATACCTTTCATTACACGTTAGCTGCATGCTACTTACAATTATAATCAATGTTCAAAAAAACACTATACGCTAGGCGAACGCTAGCCTATGGTTTAGAGTTTAGGAAGTTTAAACGTAGATTAAACGTGATTAAAAGTTTTTTATTTTTTTATTTTTGTGATGCTGAGAGCAAAATCAGTAGTAATAACACAACTAGAAGTAATAACAGTGACCATACCTCTTGCTGGGAGCAAGATTAGTAGTAAGTACTAAGTAATAACACCTAGATTGGAGGCAGCTATGTCGAGGAGCCGAGGAGGGATGTGGGTGTGCAGCAGGGGCACAGGGATTTGCTGGCGACAACGGAAGGGGCCGGACCGCAGGAGAACGCCGCGGCCTGCACCAGCTGCTCCTGCACTCGATTCCCCTCCAGGATGTGCCGATTTCTTGAGCAGCTCCTGGATTCCCCTCCAGGCTGTGCGATTTCTCGAGCAGGGGCTCCGCTCGCTACCAGCGGCAAGAGCAGCGGCGGGTCATGGCCTCACGTGTGTGAGGAAAGGAAAGGAGCAGAGTAATTTCCATACCTATCTAATCCCTCCCGCCCGCTCTGTTTTCGCGCGCAGCCCACCCGCAGCCTGCGCTTTTTTTCCGGCGTGAGCGCGCCCTCTCCTGCTCACGTTTTCCGTGCGCGCGCGGCCGCTGCCCACCCGCCCAGCGACACCTAGCGCCGATTTTTCACGCGTCCGCGCTGCCTACACGCCGCCTAGCACGAGACACATCTGTTATTTCTGGGATATGCGTCTCCTTATAACTTCATTTAATTAAGACAAACTTTTGTTTGGACTTTTGAGGTCACCCTTATTTTTGTACACCCTACGTTTTTTATTCTTTTTCTTTTTTCTGATTGTACTTTGAACTAGCAATTTCCAATTTCATATACGCTTTACTGTTCATCTTTTTTTGATATGGAAATTCATACCCAGGTACTCCCTTTTGGAAGTTAGTTTTGAAGCAGTTTGATGATTTACTCGTCAAAATATTGATAGCAGCTGCTGTGATCTCATTCCTTTTGGCCCGAATGAATGGTGAAACTGGATTATCAGCATTTTTGGAACCTTCGGTAAATTGGATACATCCTATTGGTTGAGAATGACCTGCAGGCAACAAATGACCTGGCACGTTGATGTTTGAACTGCAGGTTATCTTTATGATACTGGCAGCAAATGCAGCTGTGGGTGTGATTACAGAAACGAATGCTGAAAAAGCTCTTGAGGTTCTCACTTCTAAACAATGCCCTAATGTTGTGTTTAGCTCTGAGGATATTGTTCTTGCTGTATTTTCTCGAAAACACTTTGTTCCTGCTGTATGATTGCTTATTTCCTGGCACATGTTGCAAGATAGTTTGTACAAATGAGATTGATAAGTGGCATTAATCTTTGGCCTCCCATGTATCTTTATATCAGCAGAAACAGAGCTATATTAAATATAGGTGGAACTATGAGGTGATCTAGAACCTACTTCCTTTTTCTGGCCACCTGGGTGTGTTTTTATAGTTTTTTTTGGCACTGGGAGCTATAGGCAGAACAGTTTGGTCCTAATTATTAATGCCCTATGCTTATTGCCACATAACTGATTCTTGTATGCATGCTGTATCTCTAGGTCACATGCTTTAATTTGTTAATCACCTTTCGTAGCATTCTTTGACTCTAATTTAGCTTGCAATGGGAACTTTTTCCACCATCCATGATGACTTATTTATACCAAATCCGTAGGAGCTTCGTGCTTATCAAGCTGATATTGCAACAGTGTTGCGCAATGGTAAGAACTAAGAAGCTTTAGCAATCATTGTTGAATTTATTTGCTAATTCTTGTAAGCTTTGTCAACACTATCTATCCACTTTGTCTCAAAATAGTATTTTGATTGGATAAGTCCAGGGGGCAATTACCATATGGCTCTGCGTGTGCCATCAAAACTAAGGCCCCGTTTGATTCCAAGGGGATTTTATGAATCTGGTTAAGAAAATCTCAGAATCCTAGAATCACATCCAAACAGGCTAGATTTTATTGAAATTTAACATACAAACACAGAATCCAATGAACGCACTAGATTTTTTATCCAGATTTTATAATCCACTGGGATTCAAACGGCACCTTAGTTTTAAGAGTTTCGACCAACAAATGTAGTAAAACATTTGTTCCCAGAACCCTTTTTTTTTCTAAACTAAATTATTAATCATGTTATTTTAGAGAAAAGGCTCCCACAGCATTTATGTCATCCATGTTCAGCTTATTCTTGGGCACACTTGCCAACATCAAACACACAGTGCTCTCAAGGGCAAGCACTGGACCATTGACACAACACAACTATGGTTCTATTCTCCAGGTTACTGCAGCCACCCCCCAGAACCTGATAATACTTATTTGGTTGCTCCAAAACACCACTTGTTACTTTCTGCTCTCCCTTCAGGTCCTACAGCTCCAGAGGCCATTCTTGACATGCCATCCAATTGAACTTGCCTTGTAGTTGTCTCCTGCCATCAATCTCCTGTAGCGCTGCAGCTTTTCCCATCAAAGCACTGCTACTGATTCAAAATCAGTCCTCCCCCCCCTCTACCACACCTCACAAACTTCAGAAATCATTTGCGATATTAACTTTGGCACAAAACATTAACAAATAATTTCTCATCCTCAGCACAGAAAAGACAGGACATATCTTCCACTTTCGTCGAATAGCTAATTTATCTCTAGTAAGCAGCCTATTATTAGCCAGGAACCAAAGATATACATGCACTAGAGGATGTACAATTATCTTCCACACAACAGGAGTGTAAAGTGATAGCAACCCTCCAAATCTAATCACTGCATATAGACTGTAAAGAGTATTTTCCTTTATAATCACAGTTCCAGATATAGCATCACCATCAGTCAAAACTATGCTCTCTGCTATACTAACTAGTTCATACTACATAAACAACAAATGATTTGAGACAATTCTTCTAAAATCCAGTCTAAAATTATTTATATCATATGTTTTGTTAGATGTTTAGCTGATTAGCACATTTATCAATGTTAACCCTGTAGGTTGCTTTTCTATACTTCCAGCATCAGAACTTGTCCCTGGAGATATAGTTGAAGTAGGAGGTACTGTCAATTGCTCATCTGATGATTTTCTTTTAGTACTATGATTAGCATTTTGCTGATGATGTTTGGTTGGTCCTCCCCCCCCCTCCTTTGTGGATAAGTTGGTTGCAAAGTTCCGGCTGACATGAGAATGGTTGAAATGTTAAGTCACCAATTGCGTGTTGATCAAGCAATTCTTACAGGTACTCCTTTTGTTTTCTTGTGCTATCCACTCATTCATCCTAATATGAATTCTGAAGCTTTATAGTTTAATAGAAACAATACGTGTGAATAAGGCCATTCTATTTTAGCATTCATATAATGTTCTTTCACTGTTTGGTTTTAAAATTTAGTATCAACCATTTGCCGATGAAGACATTTTATAGTAAGAGTTAGGGAAAAAATACTGTATCGACTAAATTATTCACCACTTTAAACGTTTTTCTTGGACATTTCCAGTTTAGCAATAGCTTCATTATAAAAAAACATGGATATTTGCCATATGCCAGAGTCATTAATTGATCTTCTGGAGCTCCTGGTGAGAAGGTGTAGCTGTCCCTTTTCCTTGATGAACATTGTGGTTATAGAGCAATCTGTACGAATTATAAGCTGCACAAAAATATCAGTTACTGAAAATATAGTTTCTTACTACTTTTGAGGATTTGTGGTTTGACTAGGAGAAAGCTGTTCAGTGGCAAAAGAGCTTGAGTCAACTCCAGCAATGAATGCTGTCTACCAGGACAAAACTAACATTCTTTTTTCGGTAAGCAAACCATACTGGCAGTGTCATTTAATGAGCTTAATTCAATGGAACTGGAACTTCATTATGATCATAAAATCACGCCACCCTTGCTCTCTTCTTCCTCATGCCACCCTCGAGTCTGGCCATGATAACAAAGTCTCTCTCTCTCTCTCTCTCTCATGGAGGCAGTACGGTGCGGAGCGGCTGCCTCATGGATGAGCATGGCCGCTAGGGACGGAGCTTATCCATATGCTCTCGGCTAGGCTGGCATTTTTCCATGGACTCCTCCATGCAGCGCCGGGCCCCCTAACTTGATGATGTCGCACACCCGCTCCCATATCCCCGCTGCGTCACCGCAGTCCTTGCTGACTCACGCAACCGCCAAGCCACGGTTGAAGTCAACATTGACGGTGGGTGTGGCCCTTCGAGCACAACTGGTTTGGACGAGCTTCGAGCAGCAGCCAATGTAGCCTTGCTTGCACCGCACAACGACCTTGCTGCGCCACCCCCGCTCCTGGGCTCGCCAGCTCCAGAGCCTAGCGTCCACGCTTGATGGCCAGTGGTCCCGCACGTTGCGCCGCCCTGCTTTCTGGCCTCACTGCGTGTCAGATCTGGAGCCTTGCCGCGCCCGTGCTCGCCGGTCACCGGCCCCGTGCGCTACGCCACCTTGCTCGCTGGCCTCGCTGCACCACATGCCAGCCTCGCTGCGCCGCTGGCTTTGCTGAGCCGCGCCTAACGATGCCAGTGGGTATCCACTACCCACATCCGTATCCATACCCGTATTGTTTGGGGAGGGTATGGATTATCCATTTTTTTTCTGGGTATGGGGAGGGTAAAACAGATATTATCCACCAAGTAGCACTTAGTGTTGGAGGGCAGCACGTCCGTGGTGGTGAGCGGGCGCTTGATGACGGCGGAGTTGATCCCGAATCTTGCGCAGTTGCTACTGGCCTCATCTCTGAGAATCGCAATCGTGCATGGGCAACGAGGAGAAGACCGTACAGCGTCGCCGGGTCACCAGGAACAGCAATCACGCTGTTCGAGCTCGCCAGGATCGGCGGGGCGGCGGAGCAGGCAAGGTAGAGCAGAGCTGGAATGATTCACATGTGTGCAGGCACTCGGAGATGGTGGTGGCCTTCCGGAGCAGGCAGTCGCAGAGCGGGCAGGTCAAGCAGCGCGCGAGCAGGTCCTGCTTCACCATGGCCACGGCGCTGTCCCCCGCCGCACTGCCTCGCCGGCGTCACAGTGGCCGCTGCATCCTCTGTTGCCCTGTTCTTCTTCGTCCTAAGCATGGCAGGTTATCCATGGGTTATCCGTACCCATTCGACGATACCCATTGGGTATGGTCAATCTATGGGGATGGGGATGGATTACCCGTTTTGTGCCCAACGGCATCGTTAGCCGCGCCTGCACGTCAACCTGGTGCCACCCCACACGTCATGCTTCCACTGGCTGGTTCTGCTGTTTTGACTGGGCATGAGTTGAAGCCCAGAGCGGGAGGCATCTTCGAGGGGCAGTTTAGCTTCGTCGTCAGGCGAGAGGAGGTGGCACGGGTTATCCATGTGCCCCGGCAGCTGGAGCAGATGGAGGGTGGCCATGGGAGGAGGGGCAGGAGGCAGATGCTGATCATGAGAGCAGGAGCAGGCGGTGGGGGCTCAGCCGCTCAGGTGGTAGGGAGGGGGTGACACATGGGGCCACACATCAGTGAGTGGAGGGAGATGGGGGTAGCAGAGGCATTTTGGTCCATATGAGAATATAATTGCTTGGAATGGGCCCAACATTGTCCTAAACGTATAAAGTGGCATATTTCATGTACATGAAATCTTGTGGTGGCATGATTCCTTATAGATGAATAATAATAATGGTAGAACTCAGAAACGTGACAGCTGTGATGGCATAGATCAAATTAGTCCTAGTTTTTTCTTGAGTTCCTGGTAATTGTGCCGAAATGATCTTTGAATATGCACATTCTAAAACACCTACATTATCTTTTTACACATCCAACTTTTGTTGCCTCCTCTGCGAATTCTATGTTTGTGCTGTTGTTGTTTCCCAGGGCACCGTTGTTGTAGCTGGTAGAGCAAGAGCAATCGTTATTGGGGTTGGTTTTAATACTGCAATGGGAAGTATACGTGATGCTATGCTAAGAACAGAGGATGTAAGTAATTGAACACTTATATTTCTTCTCATTTACACCTTCAGTGAGAATTGAACTATGCGATCTAACTTCATTCTAACTGTACCTTCCTATGATGTTGCAACTAGTATGCCTCTTTGTACTTTGATTAATTGTAGCCTCACCCCCTGATTTATATGATGACTATTCTCTCACAGTTAAAATTCTCACAATATTACAGGAAGCAACACCGTTGAAGAAAAAGCTTGATGAATTTGGTACTTTTTTGGCAAAGGTGATCATGGTCCTTTCAACAAGTTGTGAGTTGTTTTTTTCCTTCCAAAACTAAGAAATACTATGGCATGGAAATTTAGCACTGAAGTGATCATTGAAACACTTTATGTATCGACTATCGAGAGACTGATGACATTATACAATCCGAGCAGCATCAGTTTAACGTTCTTTCCTGGATCTTAATGTTTAACTTATCATTAGAAGCTGCAGTGTCATTACACAGTCATATTGCTGTTAAATATTATAGTGTCACAGAGAGAAATGAAATATTTATTCTGTTGAATGTGGGCCCCTGCATTTATTCCAGACAAATCGTGCAGTTCAAATGCCTTTTCAAGCTTCTCCATAATACAATTTTCGTTTCAGGTGATAGCAGGGATCTGCATACTTGTTTGGGTTGTAAATATTGGACATTTCCGAGATCCTTCTCATGGTGGCTTTGTTAGGGGTGCCATCCACTATTTTAAGGTATGCTGTTGCTCCTATGTTTCAACTTACATTTCTGTAACATTTGATCAGTGTGGGTTAATCTCCCGTCTAGCATGTACTATCTTATTTATTAGGTTGAACATTTGGAAGTTATGCTGTAAAAGTGTGTGTATGTGTGTCTGAGCCAAGACATTATTTGGCCATGTTGATCATTCTTTGGGACCGCATTTGCAGTCTAGCTGGTTGCACTGTCTAACTTGACTATAATTTACAGGCTTCTCTTCCATGAAAGACAGCCGTTTAGATTCTATAATTCCTTTCACAAATGGACTGAGTTTTCTTGTGTTGTTTGTTCATATATATTATGTGTTTCTTTTCATTATAATGTTCTCTGGTGGCATGTATAGTGACTTTTTTAGGTAAAAAAACACACACACTCTGACAGACCTTAGCTCTTGAAGTTGGGGTTAACAGGCCATAGTATATATTAGTGATTGCAAGATGTGTGCAGTATGCCAACTTCTCCTGAGTTACACTGGTTAGACCATTGAATTCCGGGGGTTGATGAAACCCCTGTCACCAGTCCAGGTTCGAAGGCTGGCACAAACTTCTTAAGGGCATAATCAGGGGGGGCGTCTCTCCCCCATGGTCGGGTCTAAGATGTGTTTGGTATGGTTTTATAAGATAATTACATTTGCAGGGAACCAAGCAATAGCTTGGTTGGTATTTGGTAGTGCCTCCAGCTGTGAGGACGCCCACCTGCCCTCAAACCTGGGTACTCTTCGATTGTGTGAGTACCTCCCAAAAGGGTTCGGTTCTCCCCTCTTAAGAAATCCTGGAGGATGTCTTCTCATCATGTTTCTTTGTTAGTTTTTTACTTCATTGTGTAGGTACAACTTATGCTTCTCCGGTTTATTACCAAGTCAACTGCCCCTGTCAAAAATCTTCTTCACACCTTTATATTTTTGTGACTATTAGATGCACTACATCTACATGTTATACATCTTCAACAACTTATCACCAGAGCTGCTAATAAATAATTCATCACTATAGTACACCATTTTAGTTGATTTTGTAAATTACTGCCGCAACTGTGGGTGTATGGTTATGTGACTCATCCTTACTCATCCTAATATTGTTTCTCAAAGCATGTACTGCATTTTGCTCCTAATATTGTCTCTCAAAGCATGTACTCTCTGTTGTTTTTCGTTTAATAGGTAGCTGTTGCTCTTGCTGTCGCGGCTATTCCAGAAGGTCTCCCAGCTGTTGTAACAACGTGAGTTTCCTGTGAAACAATTTCTCAGTTGTCCCAAGATCATGTTTGCTTAGATGTGGTGTCGTACTCTATTCCATTCCACATTGAAGTAAATCTCATAAATCATTTGTTTGTTTTTCTTCTAGGTGCTTAGCTCTTGGTACAAAGAGAATGGCTCGCTTGAACGCCATTGTTAGGTCACTTCCCTCTGTAGAGACATTAGGATGCACAACAGTTATTTGCAGTGACAAAACTGGTACTCTTACAACAAACATGATGTCTGTGTCAAAGGTGATGTGTTTCTCTTTTATTTAGCCATTTCCATTATGTTATCCTTGTTGCATATACAGGTGCTCAGTAGTTAGTATGATATGTAGCTGAAATACGACAAGCTCTTTTAATTAAAAATTATTTTCATGCGCACGGCTTAAAAGTGTTTTTAACATCACAGGTGTGCGTTGTGCGGTCTGTGCATCAGAGACCAATGACTGATGAGTACTCCATTAGTGGAACAACATTTGCTCCTGATGGTTTTATTTATGATGCTGGCGGGTTGCAGGTAAATAGCATATTCTCTAGGTTCCATCAGTTTCTGGGATTTTTATAGTGCAAAAAATCTGAAAACCTGCATTATTGAACATAAGTTATGTTCTCTTCAATTTATAGGGAGAGAAAAATGCTTGCATTTAGAAGGTAACGCCTAGCACCTGAAATTTTAGCAGTTTGTTCAGTTTCATCAAGGAATGATTTTCATTAGGGAAACAGAACAAAATATGATTGGTAGTGTATTTCATGCCTTAAATTGACAAAGCCTTCTACCCTACTACTTGCCAGTGCAAGAGGCTGAGTTTACTAGTTTAGTACAAAGCTTTTTCTCAATCTGTAAAGTTTACTTCTCGGCACAGAGCAGATGGACTCCATTACATGCCCTTTTGGATGTGTACTTGATTTTTTTGGACAGCATGTGAAACACTCCAGCGTTATCTAGCCACTTGTTACACCACCTATGTTATTACACAAGTATAGTTGCAAGTCTCTTTTGGATTTAGGGTTTTAGAACTAATTAAAGGACTTTCATCTGTTGCAGTCAGAGTTTCCCCCTCAATCACCATGTCTCCTCCATCTTGCTATGTGTTCAGCTCTTTGCAACGAGTCCACTCTACAATACAATCCTGATAAAAAATCTTATGAAAAAATTGGAGAGTCCACTGAAGTCGCTCTGCGTGTGCTGGTGGAGAAGGTCAGTTGCTGCATATAGATAAACATCTGTGCACTTTTGCTTTCACAGGATTTATGAACTTCATTTAAATTTTAATGGTCATTCTGTACATTACTCTTTAGGTTGGTCTTCCTGGTTTTGACTCAATGCCTTCAGCCCTCAACATGCTAACTAAGCACGAACGTGCATCATACTGCAACCGTTATTGGGAAAATCAGTTTAGAAAGGTTATTACCCTCATCTTGTTTGAATTGCTATTTTTTTATTTTCTTGAACACACAGGAGAGCTGCGTATCTTTATATTAAGAAGGAAAAAATTGCTATATTTCTTCTGTACTGCAACCTTGCTGTATCTGTGATTCCCTTAAAGATCATCATTTGTATTTTCTTATGGGAATATCTTTTGACCATGAACTAATTCTTTCTAGTATATTTAAAAAGTCGGAAAATGACTCCTTTAGTAAATAGGCAAAATAAAACAAGAAGTTTTGAATGACTTTCTAATCAGATTGTTATAACTTCATGGTTTTTAAATGCTGCCTGGGAACTTCAGGTTTGATGAATACATTTGGCATCTTAATTGCCCGTCACTCTGCACCTTGGTCACTAGTCCCTACCAAGCAAGCACAGTTCCTCAAATGCATAGACAACTGGGATTAGTAGACCATATGGTGTTACTGACACTGCTCTCGTTGTTCATTGCTGTCAAATGCTTTACTATTTTCCACATTATGTCTGATCAACCTTTGTCAGGTAACTGTACTATCTAGATCCTCACTCAGGAATATGGCTGATACTGTATGCAAGGGCCTCTAAAGTCCCAGCAGTGTCAACAGTTGTGCCTCCCATATTCTGGAAGGCTTCAACTGTCTAAGTACCTATCTTCATAAACGTTATCTTGATCTACTCATCCTGCTAACCTTTTGTGTAAACTAGTGTAGACATGTGGCTGAAATATCCCATTTTGATGAGTTGATGATCACTTGAATGAGGCTAATCTTTTTTTATACATATAATCAGCCTCTTTTCTTTATATTCTATTTCTTGAGATTTATACCTTCAAAATTCATTCTCTATTTTCTGATTTTTTTAGATATCCGTTCTAGAGTTCTCTCGAGACCGCAAAATGATGAGCGTCCTCTGCAGTAGAAAACACCAGGAAATTATGTTTTCAAAAGGTGCCCCTGAAAGTATAATGGCCAGATGCACACATATATTGTGCAATGATGATGGTTCTTCAGTACCATTGACTATGGACATTCGTAATGAGTTGGAAGCTAGATTTCAAAGGTCAGCCTTTTTCATATGTTATCTGTCTTAAGACATGCTACCTTCCATGCTTTTATGGAATCTTACTATAATATTGAAATATCCAGCTCATATCAATGTGGTTAGTTTCTTCTTAATATAATGATACAACTCTCTTGCATGTTCGCGAAAACAAAATATCAATGTAGTTAGTAATACTTCTGACACTTTGGCAAGGGACCTTGATTATTTTCTCCTTAGGCTAAACTTGCTGATTTGATTGATTGTGCTGTTTTCGTGCACTTGTAAACTTTGTTAAGATTGAATACTTTTAAACATATATTATAGTTTTAGGCTGTAATACAAATATGCTAAATGCTCTCGAAACTCTAGTTTTGCAGGGAAAGACACACTAAGGTGCTTAGCATTAGCATTAAAACGGATGCCAGCTGGTCAACAAAGTATTTGTTATGGTGATGAGGCCAACCTCACATTTATAGGATTGGTACGGTTTATCATTCTCCTTCTGCTTCCTCTCTTCCTTTGTTTTCTGTTACACTTTCTTCTTGTTGTAATGTGGTTTGCCTTTTGTTTCTGTTGCGTATGATAATAATTGAGCTATTGATGAAACCATTTCTTTTGGTGCTTGTTTAGGTTGGGATGCTTGATCCACCAAGAGAAGAAGTCTGGGATGCTATCCACTCTTGTATGTCTGCGGGGATCCGTGTTATAGTTGTTACTGGGGATAACAAGGTTGGTGAAATCTAGGCTTACCTTTTGAATACTTTTGCTACTGGTGAGAAAATTAATACGCACTCTTTTAGTCTACAGCAGAATCTCTGTGTCGGCAAATTGGTGCTTTTGAGCACTTGAATGACTTTGCAGGGTATTCCTATACAGCATCAGAATTTGAAGGATTGCCTCCTTTGGAAAGGACAAACGCATTACAAAGGATGGTTCTGTTTTCAAGGTGATTTCATATCATTGTCTTCTAGATAAGTCAGGACAGCTATTCCTTTGAATGGTCTTGAATTGTGAAGCTAAAAGGACAATGCAGAATGTCAGGAATTATTTTGGTGGATGAAAAATGCTTTTGGACACATCACCCCAGACCATCGCTTAGCTTTTGACTGAGTTTGAGCTATAAAAGCTGAGTGCACAATAACACAAGGGTCTTGCTATTTTACCAAACCAGAGCAGTCAAGATATCCAAATTCTTGTGCAATCTGGCGCTTGCTGATTGCACATGCATTAGACAATGGGATGTGTAAATGGTGAAAGATTAGCTATGACCACACGAGAATAATCTAAAACAAAAATAATAGTGACCTGGTGTCTACAAGGTATGAAATAGATTGAGTTTCTCTTGTTGCTTGTTAATGGTCATATGCCTACGGTGCTTCTTGTTTCAAGGAATGAGAACATAGTGTAGTTGAAAAGTTTCTGGTTAAAAATGGGAACAAGAGGCTACTTGTACTGTACATTATAGTTTGCTTACCATTGTACAGGCTGTGAGAAAATAAATTTTCTTTTCAATTCAGAATTTCATCATGTCTGATTGAAGAGGATTTTGTTTCTCAATTTCGACTTCCTAAGCAAAAGATTTTCAATTCTTACTTTGCTGGCCACCATAACATGCCAGAACCGCCTTTGAATATGAAAAATGGGACCTAGCAGCAGCCTCAACACTGTGTTGAATTTGGATGTTTCTGCACATAAACGACATGGGACAGTTACTCATAATTGATGTTGAACTTTGTTTTAAAATAATGTAATGTGATATCACATAGTGATGTTCTCAGTTCTTTACTTTCAATTGTCCTTCACTAACCTGATAATTTATACTGGATGGTGTAGAGTGGAACCTTCCCATAAGAAGATGCTTGTTGAAGCCTTGCAAACACATAATGAAGTGGTAAGCTAACATTTATATATGATACCTATCATCAAACCACCCTGTCGTTCTTCTTTAGTCATCAATGATGGGATCGGAGCATTGTACCTAACAAAAATTGGATGTATTTCTTTAAGAACACTTCTGTCATTAGGGTTTCTTTTAAATATTGCATAGGTCTTTTAGCTCAGACACTTTTTCTTAGTTATCATTATAGTTGATATGTCAAATTTACTTTAATGGCCAATTAATTTAGCCCAGTAATGACATGGCAAACTCCAACCATTATCCGTTTCCATATACTAAATTGTATTTCATTTTCACATGCAAGGTTGCTATGACTGGGGATGGTGTCAACGATGCACCTGCGCTAAAGAAAGCGGATATAGGAATAGCAATGGGATCAGGAACTGCAGTTGCAAAGGTATTAAGAAGTAAAATAAGCGCCCCCCCCCCCCCCCCCCCCCCCGTTTTTGTTGTAAAACTGGCTCCTAAGGCGCTAACATGGCTAGTATGGTTAGACACAAAAAAAATTGGGCCAGTTTCTGTAGCCAACTAAATTAGAAACCGACCCAAGTAAAATCAAGGCCATACTCTAAGTTCCGACTCCAGGGAAGGAGCTTGTGCAGTAGACTACAGCTTTGGATGAATCTCTTGGGGTATTGGCACAAAGAGAATGCTCTCTACCTCAGTCATGTGCTCGTAGGAGCTGAGCCTGCATACTCTCCTGTCGGAAGACATTTGTGCCAGCTAATGGAAGCATTTTTGTATTTTATTCAAGTTCTGATGAATATTTTGCTGAGTCTATCTAAATAGCCTTTGTGCTGTGTGTCTCAGCAAATGCCAACTGAGTGAAGCTCCATATATTCAATCTTGCCCTTTCTTAGATAACCAATTATTCATAACAGTTGTTTCATGTATTTAATCACTTAATGCACTTGTAATGTTTCTCTATCTCAGAGTGCTTCAGACATGGTTTTGGCTGATGACAACTTTGCCACAATTGTTGCAGTAAGATTATTTCTCATTGCATGATATACAAATAATGAGAACAATCAGTTATTATTTTCAGTTGATGATCTTTATCCAAATCCTATTCTACAATTTGTTCATAGGCTGTTGCGGAGGGAAGGGCCATATATAATAACACGAAGCAGTTTATCCGGTATATGATTTCATCAAATATTGGGGAGGTGGTTTGTATTTTTTTGGCGGCAGTGCTTGGGATGCCTGACACACTTATACCTGTGAGTGTATACTTGTATCTCTCATTTTTTGTTCACAAACCATTGTGATAATGATCTTCATAAATGCTGTATGCCACATTTTTATCATGTGCTAGAGTTTTTTTTTTCCTTGTGTTTATGTTGACCCGCTCCACCATAGGCAAATTACATGCTTACTTGCAAACCCTTTCTAAACGCCTGTTTCATTTTTTGTTGTGAATTTTTCTGTTTTTTATTTATGCAAATTATGCTTACCCTTTTCATCATTGCTTTGCAGGTCCAGCTACTCTGGGTGAACCTTGTTACTGATGGATTGCCTGCAACTGCAATTGGTTTCAATAAGCCTGATGGCAACATCATGACAGTCAAACCTCGGAAGGTAATAAACAACTAAAAATTTGGTTGTGCACCTGACTATTTGAGTATCAATTCTATGATTTCATGCTGGTAGCTTTTGCTTAAACTTTTGCTGAAACTAGGTGCTAACGCATTTGTATTGGTACTCAATTAGTCAAGTGAGCTGCAGTATAACAGACTTGCTGGGCCTTTTTATTTGCACTCGGAATTTTTTGGCTACAAGAATACTGCTAATACCTATGTTTGCCTACACGGCCGTTTAGCCCGTTACACGCCGTGTAAACGCTACACGGTGGCGTGCCGTTTCCGTTTAATCATCCGTTTATCCCGTTTAATCACCGTTTAGTCTGTTTAAATGGCCATTTAGTCTGAATAAGTAGCTAAACGGTAGGTGACCGTTTAGTCTGTTTAAACGTTTAGGCTAACACTCTGCGGGATATTGCATTAAGCAAAATCCTTGTATCCATGAGACTGTAGTTTGCTGATCACTTGCTTTTGATGACTACATAGATGATTGCCACATGCATGAGTTTATATTAATGACTAGGAATTGCTAGGCAAGTGATTTCAAGTAAAATGCTATGGTTTTAATTTTCTAATTGCTATCTCAGATATTAAACAATGCTCCTTTTCTTTGCGTCCCAGGTTAATGAAGCTGTGGTTAGTGGATGGCTCTTTTTCCGTTATTTGGTCATTGGAGGTTCATTTCTTCTATCTACTTATTATTTGATTATTCCTACTTATAAGTGGTAGTGGCTTTTGACTCATGTTTGTTTGTTGTCTTCTGTTTTTGCTAATGCAGCTTATGTTGGTCTTGCTACTATAGCGGGTTTTGTTTGGTGGTTCGTTTATTCTGAGAATGGTCCTAGATTACCATATTCTGAATTGGTAAGTAGATAATTTGGAATTGTTTTCCTTTTTTTTTCCATCGGTACCTTTGTGTATTTACTGGAACTATTGTTCCATGACCTGCTGGGAGTGTTATCCTCAACAATCCAACAAAAGTTTATACTTCAACATGGTAGTCCTGTATAGGCTATGATGTCTCAGTTGATGGTTGTTTAGTGAATTGGCTTTACCGGGTATCTTATTTTAAAATAAAAGAAATTACTCACAAGGAAAATCCCAGTTAACAACTGGGATAGGGCTCACACTGAAACAGTTCCACAGAACGGCAGTTAATTTGCATGGTTTCTATGTCAACTATGTTTCAGTCTAGACTGATGTTCGTTGATCTTTGTATTTATCATTTGGCCTGCATGGTTGCCGAATGAGTTTATGGTCTAATTTATATTTCTTCTGATGTTTCTTCTGGAACCCAATATGCATTACTTATTATACGCACTCCAAACTTTTCTTTTACCCTTGCAGGTCAATTTTGATTCCTGTTCTACAAGGCAAACTTCATATCCTTGCAGTATATTTGAGGATCGTCATCCATCAACTGTTTCAATGACTGTGCTTGTTGTTGTCGAGATGTTTAATGCCTTGAATAACCTAAGTGAAAACCAATCTCTGCTGTAAGAGTTCTTTGTTCTTCATTACTGTCACTATGTTGTAAGGTTATTATTATTGGTGTAACCTGTAAGGCTGTAGAACGTGCTGCTTCCAGTAACAAATATGTTGATGCTTTGGGCACTGAGGGATTCCAGAATGCCACTATGGTAACTAATTTATGGGGTGTTATATTTAAACCAGTATACCATACTATTACAGTAGTACTTTTTTAGGGGGGAAATATATTCATTATAAAATAGTAAAGATATTAGTAATACCTAAAATTTGAAAAGTTTGAAGATCCTGAAATGTCACCTTGGTTTGGCTGTAGCGTAAGAGATTGCCAGCTTGCATCCATTATTTGTGTTTGTGCATTGTTCATCTTGTCTTTTCACCTGTGAAAGATGCTCATATGTATCCAATCTAAGGTATTCACACAACCATTGTCCTCGAATACAATGTTTTCTACATCACCCATGAACACTGAAACTTAGGACATTGCCTTTTTGTCTTCACACAGCCAAAAAAAAATGTACCTCATTTTTTGAGATTTGAATTATGATATTGGAAGCAGACATTCTTCAAAATCTAGATTTTTATGTCCTGCCGTGCATGACCTTCTGCTTGTTTTGTCTTGGCCCTCCCATTTTGTGAGATTGAGAATAACAGGTGTCTCTGAAAAGGCTGTGGCATGTGCGAAAATACCTCTGTACTAATGTATCTTCACTCATGCAGTGTCATTCATCCATGGAGTAACCTGTGGCTTGTTGGGTCCATTATTCTGACAATGCTTCTTCATGTAGCAGTCCTGTACATTGAACCACTATCAGCCCTTTTCTCCGTAAGTAATTTCTCTTTGTTCTTCAGTGGTCCTTTGATCTTATTTTTGTTAAAATAAATTGGATAAACTGTGATCTACTTATGCAGGTTTCTCCATTGTCGTGGGTTGAGTGGAAAATTGTTCTTTATCTATCCTTCCCTGTTAGTACTCTTTCTTCTTGACTTGTTATGCCATTAATTGTGGTGATACTCCCTTCGGTCAAAAATACTTGTCAAAGGTCCCGGGTTTGAGTCGCGGTCTCCTCGCATTGCACAGGCGAGGGTGAGGCTTGCCACTTTATTAGACTTTGGACGGTCTTCAATGTGTATCTTTTTGACCAGTAATTTCTTCTAGATTTTATTCTTAAAATCCTTCTTTATGAGATGTTGTAAGTAAATTTGAATACAAATGCACACATATAACTTACATGGTTCCAAACTAAATAATTTAAAAGTTATTGATGTTTGTAGTTTTTAAGGTTTGACCAAATATTGTCCTGGAGTGTGTGTTTTGCTTATAGCATTGTTTTACGACACAGCCATTTTTTGTGTTTTTGTATCTCTTCCTCTTAACATCATTCCGGATCTTTCAAAACAAATATTTTCTCCAATTAACTATTTGGCAGACTAATTTCATCTAATTGTTAGGTAATTTTGATTGATGAGGTGTTGAAATTCTTCTCGAGAAGCCCACGAGGTATATTCCCTACACAAATACTACAGCAGCTGCTGTTTTAGACAGCAGAATCTGAGTTTGCTTGTTTGCAGGTCGAAGATTCCCTTTAAGGTTGTGGAGACGTGAGATACTTCCAAAAGAGTCAAGAGACAATTGATTCTAGGCTTCAGCATATGAGATGCATACGATACACAGCGAAAAGCTTGTCTTCTGTTAGTATTGAGACTGATTTTTGGCAAATGTTCATGGATGAAGATGACATTGTACAAATCTTTCTGTGGGTGATATCTAATTGATGGCAGAGCATCTTCGACAATGGGTTCGCGATTATACAATTCATTGGGGGTCTCAGACTCAGATTGCTAGTTTTGGTAAGAAAACATAGAGCAGCTTCGAGAACCTTTTCTCGCTAGTTGTAGACGGCGCTACACTTGTACCAGATGCTTACAAATGAATGAGTTCATGTAACACCCCCTCCCTCTCAACCAAGGGAGTTACTGTATACATCAGGTTCTGTCAAATTATCTGGGTGACAGACACCCCGTTCTGGTATTACTGTCATTCAGCATGTTCAGGAGGTCGTATTGTATCGTGGATTATTTACGGCTGACTGGTTAGGTGTGAGAGAAAAACACTGTTCCCGGCTGGAAATTTACGATCGTTTACGAGCAAGCGAACAGACTGTTATACACTGCAAAAGTTTTGCACCTTGATATAATGATATTGTTGGGCCTGTTTGGCTAATATTTACAGCCGCTGCGGCTGCAGGATGTGGATGTTCTTGCTGTGTGCTTTCCCTGTACATTACAAGCAGCCGGCAATGGCTGTAAATACCAGTGGAACAGGCTCAACTAACTCCATTCTAAATTTCTTATAAGTTATTTTGGCTTTTTTAAGACAATAGATTTTTAAACTTCTGACATATACCATTACTATTCACCTATTTAGAAACTTACCATTACCATTACAATTGTCTCTGTAGCCATTTCATACCATTCAAACAATACCGGACCCACCTTTTCGTATAGCCCAAAATATCCCTTTGACTGCCCTCTCTCTGCTCAATGACATGCGGCCCACACGTCATCCCCTCCCTCTCCCACCTTCCCCTGACGACGACGAAGGCGCCCCCGTCGATGCCGCTGGACATGGGCTGCACGACCCCGAGGCAGAGTGCAGCCGTGACCACCGTGTGCTCGCCCGCGTGCAGCGTCGCGGCACCCACCTCCGAGCACCGTGCGTGGTCCGCCGCCGCCGCGCCTACGCCGGACTCCACGTCTCCACCTCGTGCGAGTTCATCGGACTCCACCGTCGGTGCACCACGTCCGCGGCCGCGCGCCCCGCCCATGCGACCACGAGCGCCGCCGCCAACAGCAGGAACCCGGTCTTCACTACCGCGGCCGCAAGGTACCGCTTCCGTGCGGCGCCCCGGCCGAAGCCGCCGCCAAGTTCCCGCTGGCTCCTTGGGGTCGCAGCAGCAAGCAATTTCGCGATGGCCTGCGCTGCGCTGCCGCTGCTCCACTGAGCGCTACTACCTCCTTGCCATTACACGAGTATTGGGAAGGAGAGAAGATAGCAGCACCAGACCAACTAGCAATCGAGTGAGGCCCTTCACCGTTTCCCACCGGAATCTGGATCTCCTCTCCTTACCCAGCGTCATAGGACGGAAGGGGAAGAGCAGCTAGATGAACATGGGACTGGAATCGGGATGGACACGACGCTAACACCGGTGGCGAGCACCCCGTCCTCCTCCTGCCGAGCATGCCGTGGCGCGCCGCGGAGGGAGCCTTCCTCGCCGTCCACGCTGTCGCGCACAGCACGGCCGCTTGGACCGTCGCCTATTCGCGAAGAGCAGGAGCTACCCTGGAGGCACGTAGGCAACAAGCACGGCGTCGGCGGGCTGCTGCTCGGGCAACGGGCATAGGCATGTGGCTGACTACGCGCGGCGGCGGTCTGCTGCGTGGAAGCCGGCTACGCGCGACGGTGTTCAACACAAAGGAGGAAGAAGATGACACGGGGTCCACACGTCTGTGATATGGAGAAAGAGGATGATAGAGGGGTATTTTGGGCAATATGAAAATAAATTGACCTGCAAATGGACCCAACTGTATCTAAAGTGTACACAATGGCATATTTGATACAACTGAAGAATTATAACGATTCATCTCTAAATAGGTGAATAGTAATAATATATCTTAGAAGTTCGAAAATTGCAATGGTATGAATCAAAATAACCCATTTTGCTATATACTTAGACATAGCATATTCTGGATTTATAGTAAAAGCTATGCATTAAAAAAAGCTAAAATAATTTATAATTTGAAATTAAGGGGATAATTCATAACTTTTAATGACAGAGATGCCTATCCTCAAGTAGCGTGTTCTTCCACTAACTCTCATTGACCTCAACCGGCCCATCGGGGCGGCATATCTCCTTGGTGGTGGGCTGGTGGACCAACGGATCTCCTCGTAGAGTGGTGTGTTTATATGTTCACTGTATAGATCTACTCATATGGAGTCCAACAAAATTGAACTTTACATTTTATGATTTTTTTGTGATTTATTATGATTTTTTAAAGATTCAGTCGAAATAAAAAAAAAAGACAAAATCGCATTTGAAAACCGTTTATAACCGGTCAGGGAGGTAAAATGAACGATTTTTAAAGTTCACGGAGATGGTTTACTTGGTTTTAGAGTAGGAGGAAAAGCAAACTTTCACGTAAGTCGAGGAAGGTAATGTGAACTTTTTTTTTAATCTTGTTAGAGTGGTGGGCTAGCAGCGAGTGAACAGGTAAGGCTTTTTTTTAAGGCAACATATCAAGTGCAAATCAATCAACTTGTGCAAACTTGGAAACTACCAATCAGGACCACTAGATGCTGATCCAATGGATGGGGTGAGGAGGCTTAAACGCAAAAAAAGGCCGACGGGTGGGGGCCTTAAGCGCAAAAAAATCACACCTCTCACCCCATCCATTAGATCAGCATCTAGTGGTCCTGATCGGTAGTTTTCAAGTTTGCACAGGTTGGTTGGTTTGCACCTGATACATTGCCTTTTTTTAAAGGAGGTCAGGCTTTGTTTCAGGATGCTGCAGTCGGATGCCGAATCGAGGACTCTCCGGCTTGAATCTCCGTCCTAAAAAGAACGACGTCATAGGAATTTTCAGATAGATTAAGGGTGGATGAAAAATACATATGTGTATTTTATTAGTTGAGTTGCATGTACAAGGTAGAGAAAATATATTTCCATTTAATCATGTATGCATTGGATTAACGCGCCAGATTACGCATGCATGAGATTTGAATCCTAGAACATCATTTTTTGACAATTTTTGAATGCTAGAACATTATTTCTTTTTGAGACGGAGGGAGTAGTTTAGTATTTTTTGGAACGAATTTGATTATAAATATTGTCAAATGTGTTTATAGATAAAATATAAATGGAACGACTAGCGCCCGGACGTCTATGCCCGTAAGTCGTTTCTCGCGTTGTTTTGCGCGCCCACGCGGAACATGCATTGGCCCGAGCGTCGCCAGCATCGAGAAAGAGGGGAGGAGGCGGCGGATGCCCAGCCGACGCCGGAGGAGGAAGAGACACCAATGCGAGGTAGGAAAAAGGCAGGAGGCAGATGCAACATCCGATCTACTTTTGAAACATCTAGATGTAACACTTGCAACATATGTCTGAGGGCAGATTAAACGCTTGAAACATGCATATGAAACACTTGCTGCAACACATCAGATCTACTTTTGAAACATACAGATGAAACACTTACAACATACGTACGGAAACAACTGAAACACTTAGAACTTACGTCTGAAAACACTTGCAAAAACATATGCAACATCTAGATGAAACACTTGCAAACATACATCTGGAAAAACATATGAAACATTCGAAACATACACTTGAAACATATGTGTATAGCTATTGCAACATGTGTAACATTCCGATCTACTTTTGCAACATCAAGATGAAACATCTGGAACACTTAAAACATACGCTTGCAACATGTGCTTCCAACGCAATGTCATCTTGTTGCCTAGACGAATGGAGGCCTGTCGTTGTGGAACTCGACACCGGCGCACGGAGCTCATCGTGCGGCAGCGGCGCGGGCAACTCGCCGACGGGACGGCTTCACACGAAGCTCACCGCCCTCGCCGGCTCGGTGGAGGCGGCCGCGGCGAGCAAGCAGTGCAGTGGAGCGCGGGCGCGGCGAGCACGGCCGCGCGGTGGAGGCGGACAGGAGCGAGAGAGGGCGTGGTGGAGAATTTTATTTTTTCGGCAGGGTGCGGATGAGAGGGAGCGAAGACGCGACAGTGAGTGGGGGAGACGCGTCCGTGTGGAATCATTATCGAAATATAAAGGTTGCAAATTTAAATTCCTTTGATCAGATATTCAATCAACAAAAAAACATTCTTTTTTTTTATAACTAACATTCATATTATTTACACCCAGGCTCTCGGCTCGGCCGAACTCTCTCCCCCACAAACTCTGCCCAAAAATTTGAAATCCTTTTCGCTTCCCTCTTCACCGACCCCCGACCCCCGAGACCCCTGATGGCGGATCCGCCGCCTGTGCTTACGCTCCTGGTGAAGAAGGGCCCCTGCGAGGGGAAGACCCTGCAGCGCCGCGCCGGCGCCGCGGCGCTCCGTGTCGGCCGCGTTGCCAAGGGCAACCACCTCTCCGTGGGCGACGCGGGCGCGTCGCAGAGGCATCTCTCCGTCGAGTTCCTCCCGCCGCCTGCGGCCCGCTGGGCCGTCACCGATCTAGGCTCCTCCAATGGCACCCTCCTCAACGGTACGCCTCTCGTGGCCACTATCCCCGCTCCGCTCTCCGACGGGGACCTCATCAAGATCGGGGAGAGCACCGTGCTCGCCGTCTCCATATCGACCGATGCAGGCCCGGGACCGGGCCCCGCCGCGACTAGGCGTTCCGCGCGCAACGCGGCGGCGGCGGCGGAGGCGGAGGAACAGGGCCCCGCGGTTTCTCGTAGGGCCGGACGGAGGAAGGCCGGTGCGGCGGAAGCCCCCGAAGCTGGGAATGGAGTGGAGGAGGAAGCTGCACTCCCGACTCGCCGAGGCGGGCGGAAGAAGGTCGGTGCGGCGGAAGCCCCCGAAGCTGGGAATGAAGTGGAGGAAGCTGCACTCCCGACTCGCCGAGGCGGGCGGAAGAAGGCCGGTGCGGCGGAAGCCCCCGAAGCTGGGCATGAAGTGGAGGAGGAAGCTGCACTCCCGACTCGCCGAGGCGGGCGGAAGAAGGCCGGTGCAGCGGAAGCCCCCGAAGCTGGGAATGAAGTGGAGGAGGAAGCTGCACTCCCGTCTCGCCGAGGCGGGCTGAAGAAGGCCGTTGAGCCCGCTGGAGTGGAGACGGAAGTGGAAGATGAAGAGGAGGAAGCGGCAATACCGAGCCGTGGCAGGTCAAGGAAGGCTGCAGTGACGTTCGTCCTTCCGCCACAACCGCAAAATACGAGGTCAGCGAGAGCTGCTGCAAGGAGAGGTGAGGTGTTGGGGTGCGAAAACGATGAGGGGGAAGTGGTCTGGACCGGAAGGGGGCGAGGACGGGTTACATGGGCAAGTGCAAGGAATGGTACGGGTGTTACTCCCGAGGAGGAGGAAGAGGAGGGTGAGGTGGCTGTGGCCAGCGATCAGGAAGGGACAGCTGCCGAGGGCAAGGGTGAGGTGGTGCCGCTGGCTGGGAGAGGACGAGCAAAGAGGGGCAAAGGAGGCCGAGGCCGCGGAAGGGCTACGAGGGCAAGTACAAAGAAGCAGGCTGAGGATGCAATTGTTGAGAACGATGAAAATGAGCAAGAAGAAAAGGATATGGCTGATGGCAGAGAACGAGTGGGGAGTCCATTGAGGGTGTTGGCTGTGAATGATTGTTCTGAAGAGGATAAGGTGGCAGCTGAGGATGACAAGTTGGATGGAAACTCAAAGGCATCCGTGGAGGATGAGAAGATGGTGGATGTGGAGGAGGATGCGGCATTGACAGAGAGGGCAATAGAGGGGAGGGTCAACGCTCAGCATGCTCCTGCTGACAATGGTGGTGTGGAAGAAGAGGAGGTGAAGAATTTGAGCAAGGGAGGGGAAACTGAATTAGATCAGGAATTGAGGGAAAAAGTGTCACCTGGGTCAAAGCTGGATGGTGTTGGAGAAGTGGAAAAGAATGACAAGAGGGAAGCTATTGGTACCAGTGGTGAGAAAGGCCATGTGGGGGAGAGCAAAGGAAGACACAGATTGGAGAATATGACATTAGGGGAGTGGTTTGTTCAGATTGAGAAATACCTTCTGGCAAAGAACGCAGAGGCTGCTGAAAAGGCGATAGCTGAAGTGCAAGAGAAACATCGGCGGTTTTGTGAACATGTTAAATCGCTCAAGCTCAATAAGAGTCCTGCTCCTTGAGATTCCATGGTACATTCAGCTATAACTGAAACATTGTCCTATTATTACTTCTGTTCATGTTTTTTCAAGAATCAATTGCAATTTTTGCAAGTGCCCCTAATATATTTGTTAAGCATGAACTTTGCTATACTGCAATGAAATATTCTTGTGAGAAATGTTGAAATCTTGTGGTTAAATCTTTCAAGTTTTTGTCCTATTGTGAATGCTGATTATAATTAGAAATTTTCTTGTAGCAAACAACTTGTTTGCCAGTGGCAAGGGATAGTTGGTAATTTTGATGCTTAATTATGTAAAGAGAGATGTACTGTAGTATAGGCCTTGTTTGGCACAACTTGTAATTGTGCAGAATTTTCTTTTATGAGAAGCTGGTGAAAAGTGTATTTTGATTATTCACCACCCTGCTACTGGTGGCTACACCACAAACCTACAGTTTGCGACACTTCAGCATTGTTGTCTTCATTGTGATATGATGGTGTCATCAAATCATCCAACATTAGGCTGTCCAAAATATTTCCAGATTACCCTGTAGAGACCATAGCAGGCTTAAGCAACTTGTGGATAATAGTCAAATAAGCAATCTATTAGTTATTAAAAAGTAAAAAGGTTTAATTCAGTTGGGCAGGATTACTGAAAGAAAACTTTGAAGTAACAGATTTATCTTAATTTCCCTTTAAGCGATTGACGAAGCTGTGCAAAAGAAGTTAACAAAATTTCAAGCACCCTTATTGAATCATTCAGAGAATCAGAGGTGGCAAAACAGTGGACAATATCCTAAAAGAATCCGCCAAATTCTTGTACACAAATGATTCTTGTTAATTAGATATTCATGGTAGCAAAGGGTCAGACAAGCTAATATTGCAGGTGAACTGTGCACCATGACTCTCATGAAATCACAGTCACAGCACACAGGACCATAAAATTTGTCAGCAACACAAAGGCATAGTTCAAGTATGTGGTATAATAAGAAAAAAGAAAAACTAAGCATGGACAAAAAAAAAAGTCCCTGAAGAACTATAACCCTGCTTATTGATAAGCTGCTGCAGAATCATGTTGTTTGTCGCAGCTTCTGCTTTGTCTGTGAAAAACTAAGAAATAAGCCCTGCCAAGCAGGGTTATAGTTCTTCAGGGACTTTTTTTTTTGTCCATGCTTAGTTTTTCTTTTTCTTATTATACCACATACTTGAACTATGCCTTTGTGTTGCTGACAAATTTTATGGTCCTGTGTGCTGTGACTGTGATTTCATGAGAGTCATGGTGCACAGTTCACCTGCAATATTAGCTTGTCTGACCCTTTGCTACCATGAATATCTAATTAACAAGAACCATTTGTGTACAAGAATTTGGCGGATTCTTTTAGGATATTGTCCACTGTTTTGCCACCTCTGATTCTCTGAATGATTCAATAAGGGTGCTTGAAATTTTGTTAACTTCTTTTGCACAGCTTCGTCAATCGCTTAAAGGGAAATTAAGATAAATCTGTTACTTCAAAGTTTTCTTTCAGTAATCCTGCCCAACTGAATTAAACCTTTTTACTTTTTAATAACTAATAGATTGCTTATTTGACTATTATCCACAAGTTGCTTAAGCCTGCTATGTTCTCTACAGGGTAATCTGGAAATATTTTGGACAGCCTAATGTTGGATGATTTGATGACACCATCATATCACAATGAAGACAACAATGCTGAAGCGTCGCAAACTGTAGGTTTGTGGTGTAGCCACCAGTAGCAGGGTGGTGATCTTCTAAGTTGTTTATTCCAGACTTAGTAGTTTGCTACTATTCATGAATGTGACGAGAATGTCATGCTAGTATGTATAAAGCAGTATAGTTAGCTCCACTGAATTCTCTGTTGCATTCAGTAGGGTTCTTATGTCCTGAACCTCTATGATAGTTAACTGAATTCTCTGTTGCATTCAGTAGGGTTCTTATGTCCTGAACGGCTGAACCTCTATGATAGTTAACTGCAGTATATCCTTTTATCTTGTGTCTCGTTTTATAATGCAGGTATTTGGAGGATTATTGACCTTGTCTCCATTCCACATGCTGACATGTGAGTTTTTTTCTCTTTTCTACTAGTACTAGTACTTGTTTAGGAACATGCTATTCTTCTGCTTAGAGGCCCCAATACCACCGGAGGCACTGCATGAAAATGATATGTGATGAAGCGGCTTATGTACAACATAGGATCTGATAGTTTATTCCTCTTTATTTACTTGCTTACCCATTGCTTATGGCTTATGCGAGCTTATATCCAATGCCAATAGTTAGTGAACAATTGTAGATGGTTCTGAGATTCTGACTGCAGTCGTCCTCGTCCATAATGTGAATTCAGCCTTACTAATGGACGAGTAGAGAGGCAAACATACAGAATGATTTTTTTTTTCTTGAAAGCATAGGAGACATACGTTTCGTTATAATAATAAGAAAACGAGTCTAGAATCATACACACCCATTTGGGTGAAGTTCAGTACACAGGAGGATTTGCCAGATAAAACAATGCTGGCCGTTGTTGAGATTCGTAGCACTGACCATCGTTGGGATTTGACACTTGGGAGTCGAGGGCAAAGCAGATGTGTCAGAGAGGCTCACCGTCCAGCCACCTTTGAGCCATCGCGAAACTTTCTTCAGGCTGGTATTCTGGAGTGGTATGGCCGCCACCCTGCGCAAGCAACACCGCATTAGGTTACTTAGGGTACGTCTGATTACCTGATCCAATCGTGAAAACGTGCGTGAGCTATCGACAAAATCTGATAGGGATTAGGGACATAGCTACCTTCACCGTCGCAAAGGTCAAATTGTTGGTGTATGTTATCGTAAACCTGAACAGGATAATTAAAGAAAAAATGCAAGTGATGTCCCTGTCAGAGAGCGGATTCCAGACGATTGAATTGTAATACAGTTTTTATTTGGCAAACATTTGTATATTCAGCAGGTGAACTAAACCCCCTGTACACGTCAGTGTATGTAAGGGAAAAGAAGAAGGGAGTTAGATGACTTAACCCAGCAGCCTGGCCGTTGAGGTGCCACGCTCTCCAGTCATCAACTATGGAGAAATTCAGTGATCTTATCCACGCTTGCGTGCCGAGGAATGGCACCATAAGGTCATGGTCTCCACTGCACCCACAAAGATGGCAATGGCATGGCATGGAAGAAGGTTCAGGCTCAGGCTCAGCTAGAAAGAACTGTTCTGAATTCTTGGATGCTCACCTGTACACAAGCGCACGGTAACCTCTGGTCGTGAGGTTTAAATGGTACTTGATGCTCCTTGGGAGGTCTTTTGCGTAAGGAAGCCCTTCGATGCACCTTATCCATTCGCCAACTGTCCCCTTTGAAGATCGTCATATTTGCATCATTATTTTTTTGACGTAAATATTTGCATCATTATTAAAGCCATTAGTACAAAAAATGTGCGATTATGCGGCCTAGAGAATCATTAACCACAGGCCCAGCTTCAAAAATTAAGATATATTATAACACTTGACTTTAGAGTCTGCTTAGCACTTAGCAGAAGCAGTTTTATGACAAGAACATACTATTCAGGAGTACAAGCTGAAAAGAAGTACCTCCTTCCGTTTCAAAGAAAAGAAAAGAAATACCTCCTTGATCCCAAGAGCATCCCTGGTAGTATCGTTGTTCATCCAATAGTAAGCCAAGTAGTAACCATATGTCTGCAATTTCAGAAAACAATTTCAGATGAATTCTTGCTAGAAGAACGGAGAGGGTCACATCACATCATCATACCACATGCAGTTGTAGAGACCAACTTACAAAACAATGAAGTTTAGGACGACCCGGTGGCTCATTTAGCTGTATAGATTCTTCTGATAGAACCCTTCTTGAATCGCCATTATATTTGGGTTTTGGCGCAGCTACAGGGCATACGTCGTACAGGATATGTGCTTTTGGGATTTCAGAAAGGAGCTGCAGTGAAATTAGAAGGCGGCATTGGTTACATACATGAGGAAAAGAAGTAAAAACAGGTCAGAGCACATGTATCTTTCTTACATCTTTAATAGTGAGCAGCACCTCAGCGCACAATTTGTTTGCAGGGTTTACATAATCTCCTTTGCAATGCTCCACTGCAGCCTTTGTAAAAGGAAAAACGGAAACATTCTACACAAAGCTTACCCTGGACTTGGTCAACGTGTATGGATGTGGAATTACGTACCTCGTATAGTTGATCAGATATGATTCCAAAGCCATGAGAAGCTGGAATCACGAAGTTTTCATCAAACCTAGAGTCTGTTACAGGATTGCCAACTAGATAGCCCTGTAAAATTGTAAACGATTGTATAAGCACAACAAAGAACTTGGCACATGATCGCACACTATTTTGACTCCTTTTCTTTTCTCCATTTAAATTGTTTGAAGACCAGAGAAAAACATGCCTTGAGATTGATGCGAGGCTGCTGCCTTTCATCAATTCCTGAAGCATAGTATAACAAAATTCAAGAGTCAGCAGCTTTATGATTTGGAAGGAAAGTAGATTTTTAGCAGAAATGCTATACAACACACATGTGTTTTAGCACCAAAAAAAATACATGAATTTTTTTTCTCTCTCTCTCTCTCTCTTTTTCTTTGACCGACCACTGGTGCCGCAGACCGGCGACCGGGCGTGAGCTCGACCAGCGCCCGCGCCCGCCTCGCTCGGCCTCCCAGCCAAGCGCCAGCCATGGCAAAGGCGGGCGGTGGCGGCGACAGATCTGTGATTTGTCCTTGCATAGAAAAAAAAATTGTGATGTGTGATCTGTGATCTGTGGAGGCTGGAAGCTGGAGGTAGAAGAAGGGTGGAGGCTGTTGGATCTTAATCCTATGGTGCAAAAAAAATCATGTGTTGAAACTGCATAAAACACATGGTTGTGTAGTAGATAGACTCTTTATTATATATATATATATTTTTTTTGTAAAAGAGGAGTTTCCATTGAACAAAATTTCAGAATGGTATTCGAAAATGAATAAAGAAAAGGGTACCATACCATTCATGTTTACTGAAAATTAGAATATCATTGGGTATGATGCTAGTTAAATTGTGAAATTATTTGCGCTTTTTCATGTATTTTGAGATATACGTGGAGCATTCTGTAGAGTTTACCTTCTGAAATATACTGTGCAATAAGTGGAACCACCTTTCCAGCATACGAATCTCCACCAATGTAGAAAACATTTGAAAGGTACTGCGGATGATCGATGAACCACTACATAATAACCGTACAGAAGTTGGCAAGTAATTGAGGCACACGGTTCTTCCATAGAAACACTTATTCAGGGCTACCAACTATGCTTATTTTCACCTGCTTCAGGAATGTGACGATTTGCAAAGACGATGAGTAGTCTCCTACATCATAGCCTTTGGGATCCCGCGCATACGAGAAACCAGAGCCAACAGGGGAATCCACGAAGAGAATACTTGCCATCTGAAACCGTCAACAAGGCGCAAACTGAATGCAAATGAGGCTTTAGGAAAGAGAGTTTTTTTAGGACTATGAATTGATGTACATCACCATTCACCTGTGTCCATGAATATGGGTTGTAGACCAACTGCGGCAGGCTGCTTTGGTGAGGCGTATAAGGTGCCAACACAAATTTTATAGGACCTGTGCAAGAAGATGACACGCTTGGATATATATTAACATCTACAACATGAAAAAAACCATCTAGAAAAAAACAATATATATTGACATGAGACATTATAGATGATTATGGATGGATTGGATTGGATGGGCTAATAACTAACCTACTTCAAAGGCGAGGCCGCTGAAGACGGTGCAGCGTGGCCCGCCGGTGAGCCACAGGAGCACGGGGTCCGTGCGCGGGCTCCGCTCCGACTCCACGAAGTAGTAGAAGAGCTCCGTCCCGGTGTCATCGTCCACGCCCACGTACCCGGTCTCCAGGTAGAAGGGCAGAGAGCCGTCGAATCCCGGCAGGTGCGTCACCACCGACGACGACGACGACGACGCGCGGGACGGCGGAAGAAGGAGGAGGTAGCAGGCAGCGGCGAGACGCAGCAGCAGGGAGAGACGGCGGCGGCGGCCGCCTCCAGCATGCATCGGAGGAAGTGTGAGCTTGAAGGCCATGCTTGGGATCGTGTTTGGATGTGTGATGAATGGAGAATGCGTGGTAGAGTCCCTACATGTCGAGCTCCGTGGGACTGTGTTGATTTTGATTACTACTCCTAGTAGTTATTAGTGGTGTTCGACCTCATCTCGGTTTTTTCTATTTATTTTATTTTAAAATGAGAAACAAGGACGATAGGATCATAGAGGAGTCACGTCTCGATCATATACCTAAAATACTAAACTGAAAAATCTCGAGGTTAACAAAGTTATTATAAATGTCTCGCTGCTGAAGAGCATGATGTTAAATTCTAAAAAAAAATATATATACGAGCACTCACATCAAATCAAGAACTTAAACCTAGATGTCTAGATGAATAGGTTATCATTAAAATCAAACCACACTCAATTCGTTCGAGATATCACACACGGGCGGAGCCATTGTTGAGTTGTGATCCAATTTTAGTTATGTACAAGATAAATGCTAACTTCTGCCGGATCGAAGCGAGGCCCGTCGCCAGGAGGCTTGGGCCCCTATTAGGGTTTTCTATCTCTATATATATCTCCTGTAAGCCGTCGTTTTAGATAAGAAAAGTTATAAATCTCTGACGTTTGTAATCTCATCCGATATAGTGAAGATTTGCTGGCTGGTGCCCGTGATTTTTTTCCCTTCTTCCTTGGAAGGGTTTTCCACGTTAAAATCTCGTGTCCCCTGTATGTTTGATCTACTGTTCTTCATCATTTATATTGCATATCGTTTTCTAACAGCCATCGCCTTACGATCTCGGACAGTCATCTAGGCTCGTTGGTGAAGTGCAAAGATTTTTTTTTAAATCCGTATCAACAAGAAACAATATATTTTTTAGGTAATTGTTGCAAAAAAAATATTTTTAGGTAAATATTTGTACATATTTGAAATCGTTAGGGCTCCTAAAATTTTCTGGCTCCTGACATCACATCTTGACCCAACTTAACAAAAAAACAGCACATCTTCGACCTGGGACCAAGATTCAGTGACTTGCTAGACGCTGTGACTTCCGTGGCATCTCAGGCGTTGAAATCGAATCCAATGGCCCTTAGTAGTGATTCAAAGAAAAAACAAAAGGGATGAGGGAGGTAGGCGGCAGAATAGAACCACGGAGGCCCTTGGTGGTGGGAGAAAAATTCTGCGCACTCGTGATGTACGGTGGTACCTGGTGTCCGGAACACGAGATCGTCGCACTGCATGGACGTGCTCAATTATAGCCTTGCTATTATTTTCTCTTCCCCGTAAGAACATGCCGTTGAGGCAAAAACTTAGTCAAATCTTAAGAACTACAAACTTCAATAACTTTCAAACTATTTAGTTTAAAAACGTGCAAGTAATCTTGAAAATACTTATCCAATAAATTTAAAGGATTTTAATAATAATATTGTAGAAAAAAATAGTGGTCAAAATAAGAAGACCATGTAAAGTAAAATGCAACAGGTTTTTATTTTACAGGAGGGGAAGATAGTATTATAAAAGAGACCACCAAATTACTAAGAAGGTGACGAATTTTATTACTTATATAGCACAAAAGTCTGATGCGTTCCTATGCATCTCTTGATTCATTCATAAAAAGGCTACCACCTAAGTTATCTTCATTGTCGTGGTGTATATTACTAGTTTACTACTACAACTCTTTGACCACTTCTGCTTTCTCCGCGTCAACGTTCTGAAAAAGGAAAACCGGTTCAGCAATGTTCTCAGTTTCAGTTTGTGTTGTAATGCATAGACGTGATTGTACAAAGACCTTCGCTTCTTCATTGTGACTTGAATTTTCAACCTTGCGCTTCTGCAAGAAGTTGAAGAAATAAATCAGTCAAACTTCTACTGGTCAGAGCAGAGTAGACAGAAATTGGAGGTCAAATATAACTCGTAGCTCTTGAAATGGTTATTCTCAGTTAGGCTTGACCATTCAGTTCCCTATCAAAATGGAAATGGAGAGCATGGTGAAATGTTCACAGATAGAGAAAGTAGGATATCAATTTATCTTTTAACTTCCGCTCCCTTTCCCTCCCTGCATACCACCAGTGCTAGTATCATGGCACAATTGAAACCAATGAGATTGTGTTTTAGACTGAATTGGTTAATTCTAGTACCGTATGCATAACTGGGCAGTTAGCGCTATTGTTTAAACATCACCCCATAGAGATTTATAAATAAATTCTACACTAGAATGGACCTACAGAAGTGGTGTGCACTTTCACCTGAGAAACAAGTGGCACACGGAAACTAAACTGCATCAATTCTATGCAACCAACTAACGGCTCTGCTAGCAGCTAAAGTAGAATGTGCTCAAGAATTAAAAATGCATAGAAAGTCAAAGGACTAAGTTTCCATGTGCTTGACAATTAGGACCAAACATTACTTCAGAAATTATCCTTTTAGATGCTACTACTCATAGAGAAAAAAAAGTAAATAATTTAAAGTACCAATAGAGTAAAGTTCAGGAAAAACAGAAAATGAAAGAGTTTACCTTTGACACCACATCGGATTCTTTTGCTGTTCGATCAAAAATGTTTGCATAGACCTTTGCGTCCACCTTGTTACGCTCCACCTGAAGCTTTTTCAGATTTGCTTGAAGTAACTTCACCTCCCTAGGGATGAAGAATGGAAAACTGAACTGCATATAATGCTACTACACCAGAATATGACAGGAAAGAAAGGTTTGTGCTCACTTGTTGTTAGGATCCAATTCCAGTGCTTTCAATACATCTGTCTTGGCTAATTCCAGGTCATACAGTTCACCATAAGCTTGTGCTCTCCGATACAAAGCCTTCACATTGCAAGACTCAATTTCTAAAATCTGACAGAAGAAAATCTGTACCTTGTAGCAAACTTCAGCTCCAACCTCTAGGTGAAATCAAAGTCATGTTCCACATACCTTTGAACACAAGCTAATTGCTTGGGTAAAATCCTTCAGTTTAAGGCAGCATGCTGCATGGTTTAACCAGCAGGATACTCTCAAAGTTTTAATTAACTTTTCAGGTTCATCTTCAAAATGTCCATCCTCATTAACATAACCTCTCTGAAGACCATGGATCCAAAAGTATGAGAAGGAAAAACTTAAACTACCTTGTTATACTTGTTTGCAGCCCTTTGAAACTTCCCGATCTTGAATAAGTCGTTGCCAGCAACTTTTGATTTCTCTGCAGCCTCTAACTTTTCATGGGCACTCATTTCCCATGATTCTTTTTCCTGCCACGCCAGAACCCAGAGTGCACAATAAGTAGAGAAAAACAAAAGACAGATGGAGAAGATGAACTCTAGTTCGACTAGTCAATACCTTTGTGAAGGTCATCAATTCCACTTCATATATCAATGTAGACCAAGGAGGTACCGTTGTCAACTGCCTTTTAACTTCCGTGTGGCCAAATCCATACTCAAATTTCACTGTCACTTTAGCAAGTTCTCACCATTGTTGCCACTGCGCTATCTAATCCAACTGTTACCTGTTCTGCAAGTGAAATACCATAAAAGGAGGAAGTTAAATAAGCCAGTATAATACTAACAGATATCTACATATTAAATAAATATAAAGGCACAAGCACATAATAAAACAACTTTACATGAGAGTAACAGATAGCTGAGCCACAATCACCATATCGGCCCCGTTCGCTGGTCTGAACTTTGGCTGAAACTAGCTGAAAAACACTGTTCCGGCTGAATTGTTGTGAGAGAAAAACACTGTTCCGGCTGAAAAAATAAGCCGAACAAGCCAAATTTAAGACAAGCGAACGAGGCCATCATAGATAGGCAAAAACAACTTCACAAATTATGTGGTTGTATTTCTAGAATCATGAATTTAAGCGTGAAATGTTGGAAGAACTCAATACTTCTGAGAGGAATAATGAAATGAAACAAATATAAAATATATGCTACTGATGTTGGAAAAGATACCATGACCATAGTTCTTGTGATGTTCCTAAATGATTATAATGATTGGAATACTAAGGGCCTGTTTGGTTTCTACAGGAGCTCCTAAAATTCCTGTCACATCGAATGTTTGACACATACATGGAGTATTAAATATAGACTAATTACGAAATTAATTGCACAACTTACGACTAATTTGCGAGACGAATCTTTTAAGCCTAATTAGTCCATGATTTGACAACGTGGTGCTACAGTAAACATGTGCTAATGGCGGATTAATTAGGCTTAAAAAAATCGTCTCGCAAATTAGCCTCCATCTATGTAATTGGTTTTGTAATTAATCTATATTTAATGCTCCTTATTAGTATCTAAACATTCGATGTGACATAAATTTTAGGAGCGACTATAGAACCAAACACTCCCTAACTTCACTAAATAGTCAAAATCAGTCACCTTCATCTATGATGAATTCAAAGGGCTCCCCGCCAAAGCCTAGCTTTTCAAAGACAGTACCATCCTCGAGGCTGCCAATATATCTAAGTAAATGTAAAGTCAAAATAGGTGTCAGCAGGAGATTGAATTACAACAAATCATTCCATCAAATCAGAAAGTAAAAGAATCCTGACTATGAACAGTTCACCATCATGAGGGGTGCGAATACCATCACCACAATTTAATGTCTTCTTCATTACTTTCAAATCTCCTGTAACATCAACTACTGGCTTTAATGAAACTAATCCCACATCCATACTGACTGCAGAATTTGGTGGAACAGCAGAAAATTGGTTTTTAGCAGCTCTTCCCTGCTCCCCAAATGCATCTGTGTTCGACAACCCAAACCAATTTTGAATAAAAAACCAAACCTGTTTAGTATACGGACAGTCACTGCAAAATGTGTCTGTTTTCTGTGTATGTGGGTTGCAGTGTGTTAGTCGGCTAGGCTATTGTGTTATGGTAATGTGGGGTTTTTTTTCATGTGTATTAATCCATGTGTCCGTAAGGTTTTCAGGCCTGATTTCTCTTTATAAACTAGGTCAATTCTATTCTTCTTAATTGCAGTGGCGGAGCTGGCCCTCAAAGCAAGCAGGGGCCAAACGGGCCTCAAGAACGTACTGCTACAGGCAAGCATGGCACCATAGCTAGCAAGCTTGCATGCATCAGGCATCTAGTTAGTAGTAACAGACAAAACAACTATGCATACAGCTATATCAGTAGACAGTAGGGAAATATACATGCACTTGCACATGACAACTATGGAACTTGATGTACGGTAAGGGAGGGCCATGGCCCTCTATGGCCCTAAGGTAGCTCCGCCAGCGCTTAATTGAAAGACAGAGCTCTTGCCATTATGTTTAAAAAAAAATGTGTCTGCGTTTCAGGTTGTACTCTATACAGCTTGCAGATCAAACCGTTCGGCTACCCGCACTTGTTCAAGATTCTTGGTGTGGTAGAGTCCACGTGAAGAAGAGACAGTTTGCTGAGTAGTCAAGCAAAACTCTGGTTGAGTCACTCTGGAAGTAATGTAGCGACGATCATGTAAGGCTGATACTCTTGTGTTTGGTTACACCGTCTTTGCACAAATTAATTACGTGTACAATAATTGTCATTCAACTTCTGAAATAATTGAGTTCTATGTGAAAATGTATGGACAATTTGTTTGTGAAAACTTGTCACAAGGAGCACAGAGACATGGGCGGATCCAAGGGTATTCCCTGGTATTCCTAGGAATACCCAACTTTTTTGAGATACTTTTATGTATATATGTGTATATACTTGTGTATATATATGTATATTGCAATATTATGTACTGTTTTCGCTCATTGCAGCCCGAATCAGTAATAAATACGGCCTTTCAGCCTTGCCTCCAAACTTCCTCCTTCCCAGGACGGCCCACTAGGCCCACTCAAGCACTCCACCCCTTCCTTCCTAGCCTCTGACCCACCCCGAGCCCCCGACACCCCCTCGCCCCTCGGCCTCTGCTCGCACGGACACGGGACACGGACGGGACGCGATGGACGCCTCGCGGCGAGGAGCGGGCTGCAGCCGGCGGAGCGCGACTTGCGCGGTCAGCGCAAGCTGCAAGGGCACAAGGTAGCAAAAGCCAGTGGCAGGGGGCTGGCCAGGCGGCAGGGGCCAGGGGCAGGGGCGCAGGGCTGCAGGGGGCGCCGCGGCGGCGGCCAGGCCAACCGGGCAGCCACTGGCCAGGTGCCCAGGTCCTAGGACGGCAGAACTCTAGGTTTGTGATCAGTTTTTACTTCTGACAAAAATCATGGCAATGCTAATATAACCTTATGCGGTGCAATATATAGGTCCAAGTTATTAAGAACACTTACTTATGTTTGGTCTTCCCGTAAGCTTTCTTATGAATGCAGCTGTTAGTGTTATAGTTCCATGCATTCTCCATATGACACGAGGAAGGTAAAGTAATGTCTATTTTATTTAATTGCTTGAGTAGACAACCTGTTTCTGTGATGTGATAATACTACTATAAATTAGTATATTTGAAACCTAAGCTATCATATATTGAATTTTTTTTTCGCACATGGGAATACCCAACTTCAGAATCCTGGCTCCGCCACTGCACAGAGAGGACATTATGTGCGATTATGTGCAGGGTCAACTGATAATAAAGCATAAAAAATTGCTCAATATATACCTTACCTGGGCAAAACTCTATGATGTGGCTCAGCCCCTACCATTTGCTTTCAAAGTGAAAGAAGTGCTCTTAGCAAAGATCGCGATTATGTTTGAACAATTTAACACGATCCAACACAAGCACACAAATTTCATAAATCAATCCTACTATCTATACCGACCTAATACTAAAGAGGCGAAATTTCTGTCACCGTAGTTTTTCTGCCACCAGCTCATGTACGTGTCGCTCTGGGGTGCTCCCCCGTGTACGATTCACGCTGCGTTAACATTGAGAAGGGAGAATAGGACCGTGTCCGTGTCGCTCTAGCGTGCTCGCCCGTGTACGATTCACCCTACGTTAACATTGAGAAGGGAGAATAGGAGTGGTGAAGAGAATAGAAAGAAATACGGGGTTTCAGATGTAAAGATGTCAGAGAGAAAGAAAATGTGGGAGGGTCTTAGTAGTTTTGAAATAGATCGGGTTCCTGATGCAAAGTGTTTAAATCCGGGTGGACCTCTCCTGGTGGGTTTCTTTTTTGAATCTTTACAGTTGGGCCGGCTTCGTTGTGAGCTGGACCAAGCTCATGCAAGCCTTTTTCCTTTTCTTTCATTTTTCTCTTTTTTCTATAAAAACATAGATCTTGCAAAATTCAACAAAAATCATAGAAAAATAAAAAATACCAAATCAATTTTGTTAGCTTTGTAAAAATATGATCTATCCATAGATGTTATAAACCTTGTTAGGTTATGCTTTTGTCTATAGGTGTGCTAAATCATCCTTACATATGTTGCATGCATTTAGGTTCCTTACGAGGTCTGCCGTGTGAAAAATAAAGAGAGGTCTCCCGTCACAATTATTGACGGACATACCCCTATCCTTAGCACATCCACAAAAATGTTACGGAGGTTGATATGATGCGTCAAAAAAGCTAGAAAGGTCAATATCAAGTCATAGAAACATATGGTTAGCATGAAAAATTAATGTTATGATATATTTATATCTAAATAATTATGCTCTTTGCAATGGAAGGAAAAATATACCAAGGACATTGTTATTTATTGTCAACATTAATTTATATTATGAATGTGATGGTCATTATAAAATAAATTATAAAAGCATAAAACATAAGTAGATATGTACCATTCACGTTATCGTTTTGCATAAATGTTTAATAGTTTTTTTTTTCACCCATTGTAACGCACGGACATATTTGTTAGTACGGAGAAAACAAATCGTATTATACGAAGAAAACAAGCCTGCACTGAAACTGAAACTAACATGTAAAAGGGGAACCCAAAGCTGTTCGGTACCAAAAGCAATCTATCTATGTTCCTCCATGTCAGATTACAAAGTAGTAGCACGGTTGAGCGCAGAATTCAGACATACATCATCCACTTACGTCCTTAACTCCTAAGTCCTAACTAATGACCCCCTAACCGATCAATCAAACACAGAAAGCTTCTGGTACTCCTCGCCGGCGATGGCTGCCTTCATGACGGCCTCCGAGTTCACCACACCATCGTGCTCCAGGAAAAGCTTGACCAAGTTCTTGGAGAAGCCGCTCACCATCGCGACTCCGGGCTGCGTTGACGTCACCGGCGTCGACTTTGAGTCCCTCAGGTTCCAGAACACGATCTGAGGCACTGCGTCGCCGTACCCGGCGTCATTGAACTTGCGGCAGATGGCCTGGTAGTCCGTCTCCCAAGGACTAGCAGACGCCTCGTCGAACTCCATGTCACTGAACACGAAGACGGTCCTGATCATCTTCTCCTTGGGCAGCCGACCGTCCACCGCCGTGCGTAGGATGCGGTCGAAGACCGCCTGGAAGTTGGTGTTCATGTTCCAGTCCATGCGCTTGATGAAGCTCATCTTCTGGACGAGGGTCATGCCTCAATCTTGTGGATCTGGGGAGTCTCACTGAACGTGATCACCCTGCCCGCCCATGGCTTCTCGCTGAGCTCAGAGATGAGCAGACCCAGCGCCACGCACACCTCCATCGGCGTGCCGTTCATGCTCCCGGAAACGTCGCAGACGGCGATGCAGTTGTTTAGAGACCCCTTCTTGCGGAGGTCCTCCACCATGCGCCGCCACTGCAGCTCCGACACATCGTCGGCCTCGCCACCAAACGCAGCGGCGGCGATCTCGTGGGGCAGGAGCGCGCCAGCCGCGATCTTGGCCTTGCCAGCCTCAACGTCCTCGAGGTACTTGTCGAAGCGCGCTTCGTCGTGCTTCTTGAACAGGGCCTTGTAGCGCCTCATGGTCACCGACGCCACGCGGGTGTAGGGCAGCTCGGACCACCGCTGGGCGCTCATGTACACCTCCGGGAGCTCCAGGACCTTCCGCAACGGCACAAGCACCTCGCGGCGGAGACGGTGGTGCACTCGGTAGGAGTAGTGCTCCTCTGACAGGTCAGAGTAGTCGGGGCTGGAGTCGCTCGGGAAGAGGCGGCGCGCGATGGCCTCGCAGAGAGCAGCGTCGTCCGGTCGAACGACGAGCCTGGCGTGGGGCACCACTTGGCGGCGAGCCGGATATTCGTCTTCCTGCCACCGGGTGCTAGCTGCTCGAGGTCGGAGGCGAGGAGGTCAGCGAAGAACTGGGCGACGCAGTCGAAGAGGAAGCGGTAGGTGCCATTGCCGTAGTACGTCTCCAGCGATTGCACGGCGAGCTTGACCACCTTCCGCACCTCCTTCGTCATGGGGATCTCCTTCGCGGCCGCCACATCCATCGCCTCCGGTTTGTTCTCCACGGCTGCCTCCTCTGTCTCCATAGACGGCGCGCTTTGGCCGTGCGCGCACTTCTTTCCGGCCAGCCTGGCGGTGCGGACCTCCGGGACCTTGCGTCTGATCTTCTGGGTTTCCGCCTTGGCCTTGTAGAGCTTGCGCGTGTCGGCGCCGTGGATGAGGCGGTAGAGTAGCTCGGGGAAGTCCTTGAGGTAGCCAAATTCGGCGAGCGCGGGAAGGTTACAGGCGAGCGTCTTGGGATGGCGCTCGTGCATCCAGAGCGCGGCCGCGTAGAAGCCCTCCCTGTCGGACTTGGCCGTGCCACGCACGCCGCAGAGGTTCGCGATGAGCTTGAGCGCGGTGAGCGGGTCTTGTGCCCACGCAATGGTGACGAGCTCGCGCACGCGTTGCGCCGGCATGTCGGGGACGACCTGGAAGAAGTGGTCGAGGCAGGGGTTGCGGGAACTCGCATAGGTGGCCGAGTTGTTCTTCGTCCGCGCCATGCGGGGCTCCTTTAGCGCCGCTAAGCGGCATTAGAACCAGCTGGAGGGTCCTCGTTGTTGAAGTAGGCGTCGAGGAGGTCGAGGAACGGGTGGGAAGCGGGGGCCTCCGTGTTAGTGGTGATCTCACCGGCTCGGCCCAATGGTTGAGTTGGGCCTTGACCTCGCGCCCTGATCGGGGGCGTCCAACCATACATAGTTGGTGGGCCCCCGTCACACTGCGCTATATAGAGAGGTGGGGGCCGGTGGCTCTCTTCACGAGGTTGATCGAGCTACAGCTCCCACCGACAAAATCCTAACACCGATCTAGAGAGGGTGCGTAGCTGCGGATCGGAAGCCGCCACCGCCTTCTCTCCGCTAGGACATCGCGCCCACCTTTGGACCGCACCATCGACTCCACAAAGAACACCGACATCGCCATGGACGGCTCCAACTCTTCCGCCAAGCCCTCCGACGGTAGGTGATGTCTCACCTCTCACCCTCTCATCTCTCAAGTACTCTATTTCTTCATGTACTAGGATGAACTACATCTTTTATCACAAGTAGAAGAGGTTGTACCCGCTAGATCTATGTCTAGTTGATCCTACAAGATCTATCAATGGTATTTGTCGAGCCTAATCAAGGCGTAGATCTAGGTTTTGGGGTAGAAAAGAAGAAGAAATTAGAAGGAGGTGATTCGATTTTTGATCCGGATGAAACCCTAACCCTAACCTTAAAGGGAAAAGGATGGAGAAGGGAGGAACCTACCGGTTTTCTTGCCTCCGTCGACACCGCTCGTTTGCATCGGAAGAAGACCGCGCCGCCGTTTAAATCGTGGCGCGGGGAGGGAGCCGCCAGCGTGTACCCTACCAGATTAGGCGCAGGCACCGCAAAGAAGACCGCTCGACGGCAAAGACGCTCACCCTCGGGTGAACGCGCGTGTGCCGTGAGGGGACTCATGGGCGACGGCGGCCGACCTCATTCCTCCGTCTGCGCTACGGGTGGCCGCCATCGCTGCTCTGCTTCGCACTGAGAGAGGGAGAGGGAAGGGAATGAGGCTAGGGTTTGGGGGGAGAGCGTCGTCGCGCCGTTTTGATCAGCCGAGACGCGCGCTCAACCGTCGATCTGAGATGGACGGCTACGAGCGCACCGGGCCGGATTCAGCCTAGGCGAGCGAGTGGAATCCTAGCCCAGGCCCAGGTTACGCCTTGGGCACGGGGGAGCGTGGGCGCGAGCCATCACCGCAGGCCGAATTTGCTGCTGGGCTGCGATAGTGCGCAGTGCGCAAGCAGTTTCGGCCCAAGTTGCACAGTCACTTTTTTTGTTTTGTTTTCTAATTTTCAGAGGCAAATTTTGATGATTTTTGACTAGTTTAAATCTCTGTCAAAATTTGAACCAACGGGATAATTTTTTCAGAGAGTAGATGAATACTTCTGAAAAGTAGATAAAATATTTTTCATGTTTTCACTGCGAATGATGATGTTTATGATCTTCTAATTAAATTCGAACCAAAGGGGGATTTAATTTTGAGGAGTAGTTATAATTTTTAGTAAATTTATGATTTTGCTATTTTCTGACCAAAATTGTTGATAGCAATATTATAAATGTTTGATTTATGAGTTTATGCATTGATTCTATTTTCTGCCCAACGGTGATGTAGAATTAATGTAGAAGAAGTTGTATGTTTTAATTTTGACCGACGTTAAATTAAGGCATGCAATCATTATGTTATGTTTTTTCACTTTCTCTGACACTGTTTTTCAGGACTCAATCCTATGGCATTTATCTCGCATATTTCGCCTCTTGAAGGGGGCAACTAAAGAGTATGGCGAGAGAAGTATGGGCTCGCACTTGCGCTGTCCGAGAATGACTTATCACTTATCTCTCCGTGTCCTACTGAGCCAGAGGACCCGGTGAGGACAGAAAATGAGACTGATGCTGATTTCACTGCTCGAAAGCGAGATCATGCAGAAGTTAGAATGAAATACAATCATGATCGGAAGAAATGGGACATCTCAAACCGCAAGTGCTTGATGGTGGCCAAGTCCACTATCTCATATGCTATAAGGGGATCAATCCCAGATTGTGATACCACCACCGAATATCTTAAGAAAGTGGAGAGTTAGTTTACTGGCTCTTTAAAGGCTTATGCAAGCACCTTGATAAAGAAATTATTCAATGAGAAATACTCTGGTGGAGGTATAAGAGAACATATATTGAAGATGAGCAACACGGCATCCAAGCTCAAGCCAATGGATTTAGGACTCAAAGATGAGTTCCTGATTCATTTAGTTTTTGCTTCCTTGGCGAAAGAGTATGAAATTTTTATTGTTAACTACAACATGTAGCCCGATAAGTGGGACATTAAGAAGCTCATTACAATATATGTGTAAGAGGAGGAGAGACTTAAAAGCTTACAGGGTGACTCTACAAACCTTGTGAAGAACAATAAAAGGAAGAATTTTATTGCCCAACCTCATGGGAAAGCCGCTTAGATTGATCACCAGCAGAAAACAACAATGTACAAGTTGACAAGGATCAGTGCAAATGGTGCAAGAAGCGTGGACATTACTAGAAAGACTGTCCAGAGTTCCTGAAGAACCTTCTGAAGAAAGAGATTCCATACGAGAAGGACCCTGCAAAGAGGAGAAAGAAGAATTAAAGTAGCAAATAGAGTTGAAGCTGAAGTTGAAGCCATTGGAGATCTCTCTCTAGAATTAGTTGATGGTTTTGTACTTAAGCTTTCAGATGTTCTATATGTACCCTCTTTACGAAGAAACTTAATAAGTGTTTCACGTTTAGATGACGATGGATATGATTGTTATTTTGGTAATGGCAAATATCAGATTGTTTATAATAATAAATGTGTTGGTCTTGCCTTCCGACAAGACAAGCTTTATTTACTATCACTTTCTGAGAATGTGAATGATGTAAGCACTGAGAATGAGAATGCCTCTTCGTCTATGAATGCAGCAAATAAGCGGAAGAGAGTGCATGATGTATCTTTAAAATTATGACACTGTCGTTTAGGCCATATTTCGAGGGGGAGAATAGAGCGATTGATTAAGAAATCAATTCTTCTGTCTTTAGAATTTTTAGATCTAGAGCAATGCATTGATTGCATAAAAGAAAAGTACGTTAAGAAAATAAAGAAATATGCCAAACGAAGAGTAGGAATTTTAGAAATAGTTCACACAGACATCTGTGGTCCTTTTCCTATGAATAGTGTGGATGGTTATGATTCATTTATAACATTCACAGATGACTATTCTCGTTTTGGCTATATTTATCCAATTAAGGAAAGATTGGAAGCATTGGATAAATTTAAGATATTTAAGGCTGAAGTAGAAAATCAGCATAACTTAAAGATTAAGGTAGTAAGGTCCGACCGTGGGGGAGAGTACTACGGTCGACACACCCCATATGGTCAAGTTCCTGGACCCTTTGTAAGGTTCTTATAGGAAATGGCATAGTAGCCCAGTATTCTACCCCGAACGAGCCTCAGCAGAATGGAGTAGCTTAAAGACGCAACCGTATCTTAATAGATATGGTGAGAAGCATGATAAGTTACTCTATCTTACTGATAAGTTTATGGATAGAGGCGTTAAAAACCGCCATTCATATTCTTAATCGAGTGACAAGCAAGTCGGTGCCTAAAACGTCGTATGAGTTGTGGACAGGAAAGGAACCCCCACTTAACTATTTACGTGTGTGGGGTTATCCAGCTGAGGCAAAAGTTTTTAACCCAAACATAGAGAAGCTAGACTCCAAGACAGTCAGTTGCCATTTCATTGGCTATCCAGAAAAGTCAAAAGGTTATCGCTTCTATTGTCTTGACAGACAAACGAAGTTTGTAGAAACAAGACATGCTGTCTTATTGGAGGATAATATAATCAGGGGAGGCATGGTAGCACGAGAAAATAGTTTTAAAGAGAAGCGGATATATGTCCCCACTCCTATGGTTTAGGAGCCATTCTTTATGCTACATGTTGTTGCTGTACCAACAGTGCAAGACACTGTAGTAACATCATCTGTTGTTAGTTCTCCTATGACAACAATGAATGAACATGAGAAACCTATCCTTCAGGATCCCCAAGAACCCGTTGTCACACATGAGAAAGAGCAACAACAGCCTCATATAGAACAAGCGTCATCTAACGAGGCTCATAGAACATCTCAAAGAGTCAGGAGATTAGCCATTCTTGATAATTACGAAGTTTATGAATGTGAGAAATTTCAAATGGAGGGTGATCTCACCTTATTTGAAGAAGCCATAAGAAACGCTCACTCATCCAAGTGGCTTGAAGCCATGAAAGATGAAATGAAATCAATGAAAACCAACAGTGCTTGTAACTTAGAAACAATTTCTAAAGGAGCAAAAATAGTAGGTTGTAAATGGGTCTATAAAACTAAATATGACTCCAAAGAGAATATAGAAAGGTTTAAAGCGCGACATGTGGCGAAAGGTTTCACGCAAAGAGAAGGCGTAGATTACAATGAGACATTTTCTCCAGTCTCATGTAAGGATTCTTTTAGAATAATAATGGCGCTTGTAGCACATTACGACTTAGAATTACATCAGATGGATGTAAAGACGGCGTTCCTAAATGAGGATCTAGAGGAAAATGTTTACATGGCACAACCGAAAGGTTTTGTTGTGGAAGGAAAAGAACGTATGAGATGCTGCCTGAAGAAAAATCCATTTACGGATTAAAACAAGCTTCAATACAATGGTATTTGAAGTTTGATAGTACAGTAAGAAAGTTTAGGTTTCAAGAAAATATAGAGGACAATTGCGTTTATGCAAAGTTCAAGAATAGGAAATACATTTTTCTAGTCTTGTATGTGGATGACATCTTGCTCGCTAGCAGTGACGTTAATCTACTACTAGAAACAAAGAAGTTCTTGTCCTTGAAGTTTGATACGAAGAATCTCGGTGAAGCTTCATTCGTCATAGGAATAGAGATTCACTGAGATAGAGAAAAGGAGGTTTTAGATTATCGCAAAAGGCATACTTAGAAAAAATTCTAAAAAAATACAGTATGCAAAATTGTAAGTCTTCACCTGCTCCTATAGTCAAGGGCGACAGATATAGAAAATTTCAATGTCCCAGGAACCAATATGGGATCGATTAAATAAAAACGGTTCCTTATAGTTCAGCCGTTGAAAGTTTACAGTATGCTCAAGTGTATACTCACCTTGACTTAGCATTTGTTACCGGGTTACTTGGCAGATATCAGAGTAATTCAGAAATAAAACACTGAAAATTAGTAAAGAAAGTTTTACGTTACCAGCAAAGTACGAAGGGTCTCATGCTAATGTACAGAAGATCTGATTTCCTGCACATAGAGGTGTATATAGATTCTGATTATGCGAGAGATGACAGAAAATCCACGTCAGGATACATATTCACTCTCGCAGGAGGAGCTATATCATGGAAAAGCTCAAAGCAAACCGTCACTACATCGTCCACAATATATGCCGAGTTTGTAGCATGTTATGAGGCCAAAGGACAGGTGAATTGGCTGAAGAAATTCATGCCCGAGTTGAAAGTGGTAGACGACATATACAAACCACTCAAGTTATACTGCGATAATAATCCAGCAGTATATTATGCTCACAACAATAAGTCAAGTGATGCTGTCAACCACATTGACATAAAGTATTATATTGTGAAAGATAAAGTCTAGGATCATATAATTAGTCTTGAGCATATAAGAACAAAAAAGATGCTCGTGGATCCACTAACAAAAGGTTTACTATCCAACGTGTTCAGAGAACACTTAACCGGCATAAGTTTAAGAGAAACCCTATGATTTCTTAACAATAAGGACCTAGTTGAGAGTCTGTTTTAAAATAGAGAGGTGCATTGTAGCTGTTTAATGTAATGGCAACTGACTATGACGACAAAGCACACTCTATACACTGATTTGTGATGGAATGTAAAAAGATAAAGTAAGTTGAGTTTTAAGTAATAAGATGAGATCTAGGGAAGATTATTAGTGGTGATCTCATCTCTTACTCTCTCCTCTTTGTTACTCTATTTCTTTATGTATTAGGATAAACTATATCTTTTATCGTAAATAGAAGAGGTTGTACACGCCAGAGATATATGGCTAGTCGATCCTACATTATCTATCACTCCGCAGCTGTGGCGGGCGTGCCCCGCGGATGACGGGAGGGCCGAGGAGGACGGCGGCCATGGCGTGAACGATCCGATTGGTCCGGATCTGATCTGTTTCTGTTTTTGCTAGGATTTTAGGGGAGAAAGCTAGCAAAGGAAGGCGACGAGATTGCTTCGAGAGGATTCGGGGGTCTAGACTCGATCGCTCTGCTGTATAGAACCGGACGGCGGCACCGGCGCGTTTCCTTGCGCCATGCGACGTGGCCCACCAGAACCCGTAGGCGCAACTCCAGTTAGTCGGTTGGGTAGCGTGCATTGTGACCGTTGATTGAACCGACGTAACAAGCAGAGGGTTCAGATTCATTACCTGGCGGCACACGTCAGCAAGCGATTAGGAAACCGCCACCGCCTTCGCAGTCCGGCCTCCAGGCTCCCACCAATAAAATCTTCGTCGCCGTCCCAGCAAAATCCGCGCACGCACCAATCTCGCCTCATCTCCCCTTCATTCATCTCAGTATCTCACGCGTACCCAAAACACCTCGAGCGCCGCCTCCGCCATGGCCCCGCCCACCTCCACAGCGCTCCTCGGCCCTCCCGTGGCCGCCCTCAACACCAACATCGCTGCTGCTGCAGATTCCCGGCCCACCAGCAAGGCGTCGTCATCCTCCGACTCCGATGACTCATCCGTGGCGCCGTACGGCGGCGTGGCCAAGGAGGCGTCGCGGTCTGGTCGGGCGCTGGCCTACGCCTCGTCCGGCGACCCGTGCGTCGACTTCTTCTTCCAGATCGTCCCTGGCGCCACCTCGGCCGCTCACCTGGCGGCACTCCTCGACGTCGCCTGGTCTCGGGACGCGCGCACCGCGCTCAGGCTCGTCTGCCACCTCCGCGGCGTGCGCGGCCTGGGCAAGGGCGATAGGGAGGCTTCTACGCTGCCGCGCTCTGGATGCACGCGCGCCATCCCAAGACGCTCGCCGGGAACCTGGCCATCTTCGCCAGGTTCGGCTGCCTCAAGGACCTGCCTGAGATCCTCTACCGCGTACTCCACGGCGACCGCAAGGGCGGCGACGACGGCGACCGTCGCAAGCAGCAGAACGTACACCGCCACGGCATGAAGCGCCGGCGCAGCGATCGCGAGTTTCAGGCTGCCAAGGAGACGAAGCGCCAGGAGGAGGCGCAGCTCGCGCGGTCGGCGCTCTCGCGCTACGAGTCCGACGAGGCTTTCCGCTTCCTCTACGATGGCGTGGCTGAGATGTTCGCCGAGATGCTGAAGTCCGACGTCGAGCACCTGCGCGTGGGCGACACCACCAAGATCGGGCTCGCGGCCAAATGGTGCCCGTCGCTCCGCTCGTCCTACGACCGTGCGACCCTGCTCTGCGAGGCCATAGCCCGCCGCATATTCCCGCGCGAGTCCAGCCAGGAGTACCTCAACATCTCGGACAAGCACTATGCCTACCGCGTCCGTGACCGGCTCCGCCGCGAGGTTCTGGTGCCACTGCGCAAGGCCCTGGAGCTCCCGGAGGTGTACATGTGCGCGTGCAAGTTTGAAGAGCTGCCGTACGCGCGGGTGGCGTCCTTGGCGATGAACAAGTACAAGGAGGTGTTCCAGAAGCACGACAAGCACCGGGTGGCCGGCTTCTTCGACGAGGTGCGCACCGGTCTCGCCAGGATGCCGGCGGACGCGGTGCTGCCACACGAGTTGATTGCCGCAGCGCTTAAGGGGAGCACGACGAGGCTGCCGAGCTCCAGTGGCGTCGCATGGCGGCCTCTCTAGCCGCTGAGGGGCGCCTGGCAAACTGCATAGCGGTGTGCGGGCTCTCCGGCGCCACCTTGGCCGCCACGGACACAGCGGCCTCTGCAGCCATCGCACTGGGGCTCCTCATCTCTGAGCTGAGCCAGGAGCCGTGGAAGGGCGCGTGATCACCTTCAACGAGACGCGCCAGCTGCACAAGGTGCTCGGCACGAGCCTCAAGGAGAAGCTGCGGCCGCTGGTGGAGTCCATGGGGAAGCATAAGAAGGGCGCGAACCTGCAGGGCGTGTTTAGCAAGATCCTGCAGCTGGCGGTGGCCGGCGGGCTGTGCAGGGACATGATGGTGAAGAGGGTGTTTGTGCTGAGCGACATGGACTTCGACGGGTGGACGGGCACCGCGTCCCTGTGGAAGACAGAGTACCAGGGCATCTGCGACAAGTTCGCAGCCGAGGGGTTCACGGCGCCGCAGGTGGTGTTCTGGAACGTGGGGACCTCCAAGGCCTCCACGCCGGTGGTGGTAGCGCAAGAGGGCACGGCCCTGGTGAGCGGCTACTCAAGAACCTGGTGAGACTCTTCCTGGAGGCGGATGGCGAGCTAACGCCGGCCGCCGTCGTGGCAGATGCCATCTCTGGCCCGGAGTATGAGGCGTTAGAGGTGTTCGACTAAAGTTTTTTTCGTGCTCATGTGTTCCTGATCGATTGCTGTTGGCGACATAGTGAAGAAAACTCTCAAAGAAAAGCTCAGGGTCTTCTGGTAGAACCACATACTCCCTCCGTCCCGGAATAATCACACGTCTAGCATTCAAATTTTTTTCCGAAATAATCGAACACCTTCACATACGGCAACAGGCCAGCTATCCCATCGACGTGACAGACTGAGCAGCCACAGGTTACTGCATCTGCACCTCCATACACGTTGCAGCGCTGCAACGTTTGCCCAGCGTGTGGGCCCAATAAAATATGAAACAAAGGAAGAAAGCGTGGGAGGCTCTAGAAGGTCCTGTTCACTCGTTCACGCGATCCTTCGGTCGTACTCGTGTGTCGTCAACGCACCCGACGCCTCCCTGCAAGGGCATTTTCGTAATTTGGCATGCAGTGTTGGTTTCCGTGCCCAGTCCCAGAAATGCAATTATTCTGGGACGGAGGGAGTACTCGTAGTCTCAGCATATGGTATTCCGATATGGCGTAATTTGAATCGTGGAAACGATGCTTGAATAAAGTTTTATCGTCTTCGATTTGCACTATAATTGTTTAGTTTGCAAGCACTAAAACTGATTTGTATTTTGTACAGTACTAGGGCATTGCTGTTCTATATGCATGATACTGAAGGCTGGTTTTGTTGAATCTAGTAATTATTAGGATAATATACATGTTGGTTAATAGGTTGAGTGAGGTAGACTGCAACACTAGTATCTTCACAGATAATACAAAAAAATACAAAAGATACGGAACAAAAAGTTAAATGTTACTTAATTACATGACATGTGTAGATGCCTCATATTTATTGATATGCTACTCCCATCCCAGATAATTATGGAAATAATCTCAAGCATCAGCGTGGACTGAGTTAATGCAGCTCCTTTTTAATACAAATCTATTCAGTGAGACATACATTGTGATTGCACCATCACAACAGCTCTCTCGCCTTCGTTCATTGTTTTCAGGACCTTATAGGTAGTGCTGGACAGACGTGACCTGAAAGAACACAAAATTGATTCAATCTCTCACAGCCACATCATTGAAACATATTTCCCATCCAATATAGGCTGCTTTCAGACTTCAGAAGAACATTATGAATGTTACAGAGAAGAGCTCCATAACAATTAATCATCTGAATTTGTTATGGTGCAATTACCTTGATTAACAAAGAATGTTGATCCTTCTTCTGGAGATTCCTCAACTATCGACTCATCAAGTAGCTTGACTTTGTACTTGACTATATAAATACATGAACAACCGTCATAAAAGATTACAGGATACCAGTTAAGCATTGGTATTCAAATACAAGAAACAGTAAGGAGTAAGACTATTTGTCATGGAGTGTTTATCTGTAACTTCATCAAGATCCCCTGTTTGCCTGTTCCCTCCAGACAAAACTTTCTTTACAATTCCACCATTTCTATATATATCCACCACTGTTAACCATGATAATAGCTCTACCTCAAAATGTAGCTCAGAACCAGTAGGAACACCTGGAGCACTAGAATCTTCATAAGCCAAAGGAGGAAGCATAAATAGAGCTTTCTCTCCTTTCTTCATTGTACAGATTCCACGCTCTAGACCAGCTACCACATCACCTTATTGAGGAAATAGAGTAAGATCCAGATTAAATCATGAGGAAAATCTTATCTCAGAAAATAAACAGCAGTGAAAATACGACAAAATAGGAATAGCGAGAAGTGATTTATAACAAACAACTGGGTCCACCTGTAATTAATCAACTAATAGGTATCAGAATTCAGGATCACAGTTAGCTGGAAATATCGGAAACAATCAATCAGCTTCAATAATCCAAGCACAAATGCAAGTGATCTACCAGTTCATACAAACACTACATGACCGGAAACAAACAGCAGGCCTCTACCTTTCTCTAACGCAACAAAATTATTTAAGTGTGGACAACCAAGTATCATGAACATCTATTTTTTGGGGGGGAATATTCAGAGAATAAAGAATAGTTCCCCTACTTTGTGTCTCTTTGTTCTTCTACTTTTATCTACCGTGTTGATCATGAGAGGCGGAGAGGGAAAGTCCTGTCCTAACCCATGGCGATGTGTTTTACAACATGTAGAAAACGAAACCTTAATATTCAAACATTACTAACAAGTTACAACGGTATAATTCATCAGTGTTCAAATCCAGTTAGCTTGGATGCAAATTTCACTTTCTTTTATGGAAATATGAAGGGTTACCCCCTACTGTAGATTTTATTAAAACAAAAGGAGAAGAGTTCAGGCTACATGTTCATGAAACAAAAAACGAGACAAAATCATGAAATTTTCACTTTTACTCATAGAACAGTGCATGTTGTTTATCCGCTGTTATATTATGAAGAGAACAAATACAACATCAACAGATAAAGATACAAAAAGTCCACACCCCTATTAGTACGTCTAAATCTAATACCACTACTACACAAAGGCTCATCTCCGAAGCCCCCATTTTCCATGGCTTTGCAGCCGTGAAAGTAACAGCGACGGTATGAGGCAATTTCCTGCCACGGATATAAATCATGGGACATAAGTAAAACTTTTAGCTGCTTGCTTCACAGATAAATGTTGAGATTGTCCGAAATAATTCCTATTTTTTTCTAAAAACAAATCTTAAGATGGTTGTGGGCTCGTCAGCATTTAAGATAAAAGAAGATTTGTATCAGTACAGTAGTACATTGTACAAGTCTGCCGTGATTCCATTATTTGGGAAACAGAAGTTTAAAAAACCCAAACGTCTCAAAAACTTTATCATGTTGTAGTGTAAGCGTGACTAGTTCCCGAGGTTCCACAGATGAGGCGGTCGTGCAAACAAGACTAGCAGAGCATCAACATTTACTTGATTAAACTGGATATGAGCAATGGAATGTCAAAATTGGCATTGACAATCGAAAGCGAATCCTTACCACTGCCAAGATTGATCGTGCGGGGCTCTCATTCCCTCGTCGACGCAAACAGCGTGCCGTCGGGGAGCGACCCAACGTAATGCACTGCAAAACCAAGTCCAAATCAGGATGGAACGAAGCGGCGAACAAATCGATGTGTTGTGGGTATAGGAGTAATGGGACGAGAGTAGGGGAGGGGGGAAACCTGAGACCTCGTCGGGAGGCAAGGGAGTGGCCCATCCCTGGCCGGCGCGTAGGAGGCGCTTGCGGATCCCCGACGAGCTAATGCTGCGCTCCTCGCCGACGCTGAGCGGGGGCACCGACTCGATCTCCTCGCCAACCTTGTCGTCATCGAAGGAGGAGGAGCCGCCGCCGAGGAGCAGGTGATGCGGGATAAGCGGACCATGGTCTCTCTCGCACAGTCACACCTGCGCGTCTCAGCGGCTGCACCGACGTCGCTCCGTGCAAATGGCGGGTGTGGGTGTTCGTTACAGCTCACAGATACTGAACAACCGAGGCCAAGTGAAGACGAAGCGGACGAGTGGGGGTGGGAAACTCGAAAAAAAAAATAGGTCAATGGTGACCGATGAGTGGTGATCGTCTGCAACAAAATCTTGTATCTCGATCCCCCTCGTGGAATGTTAGGTCACTACTGTTCATACATGATATCTAGCTGCACTGTAAAAACTATATAAACAGCTTATAGATTATATATCGAGAAAAGAAAGAACTACTTATAACTTAGAATGAAGGGATATCGAGATGAAACTATATCGATCATACCATATTTTTTATTTTTTATAATATCACGATCTATATGAAGGTTTCGTATGATCCTACATAGATTTTAGTATCCCAATGCTACTACCTCACAATACCATACAATCTAATGTTAAAAAATACCATCTAATGTTAAAAAACGTTGAAAAAAGCAAAGAATTGCACTTAAATATATACAAATTCAAATTAATCGAAACCAATAATATAGACTTAAATCTTTACAAGATACGTTTGGCTCCACTAAAGCAGCAGCCAGCTGTTGCTGCTGCTACAGTGCCGCTGCGGCTGCAGCTTAAATGTTTGCATCGTCTTCGTCGACCTTCGTTCGCCTCTTTGTCTATTTAGGACTAGCTTGATGCTTGTAATAAACATTTAAAATTCTGCCCTCTCATGTATCCATGAATGTTCATTTAATTATGTGAGTGACAGCTAAGTGTGTTGTTCCTTAGTTTGTTGAGACGCATATCGAGAACTGATGGAACTATTCCGCATAAAATCGAGTCGGTCAGGGAATAATAATCTAATTTTTAATCAGAGAAATTTGAATGGTTTCTCAATGCTCTACTTCACCGGCTCAATCTTCATCCACACAACTGCATGGAAGCATATGTCTCTCCATCTTCTTCTAGCACATCTCAAGGAACCGATTAAGGTGCTCTTTGGAGGGCTTCTAGAAGGGCTCCACCTATAGCTTTTGTAGCTTAGGGGAGCCATATCAAACATTCACATGCGAAAACGGATTGTGAAGCCAAAATCAAGCAAAAAGTGATGTAGCCGAAGCCGTTTTGGCCTATAAACCAAAACTGCAAAAATATGAATTTTTTTTTCTGACTTCAACATTTTTTGAGAAGCCAAAACCCTGCCAAAAACAACCTTAGTCCTAAAAATGTGGCTTCATCAGCTCGGTATCGTGTTTGGTTGTTAGGTATGGTCCAGTGGGATCCGGATTCCATGGCAGTAATGCATTGTTAGGAGAATTAGGTAGAAAAAAAGAAATTAAATAGGGTGGACCCTGGGTCCAAACCATCACCTGTGCACCCCTACGGTGGATTGTTGACATGTGTATAGGTAACCAAATTTCACGTCCAGTAAAATCTGCAACACCTGAGTCCCTGCGTGTTGTTGTCCTTGGCTTTCTAAATTTAGGTTCCACGCATGCTGCCTGGTTTCCGCTTGATATTCTGTTCTACAACA